AAATAGCTTTCAGAACTAACAACACAATAGGAAAATACTTAAAAAACAATAAAACGAAATGTCCAAAATCCCAAAAATCAGGTGTCTACAGGTTGAAATACGGATTTTGTCCTAAAATTTATATTGGACAAACAGGTAGATCCTTCAAAAAACGCATTAACGAACGCGAAAAGAGGGTTTAAAAACAATAGTTTAGATTCTAATTATGCTACACACTTAAACACACAAAAACACATTTTTGATGATAATTTTGATATTTTACATACAGCAACAAAAAGCAGAAAATTAAATTTATTGGAAGCCATGGAGATTAACAAAATCAGACATTCAAATGTATTGCTTAACGATCAATTAGATTTAAATACCTCTCCTTTATTGAACTTAAATTCTCACAACAAAATTAATTGGTTTTACGGTCATTTTTCGGTATATATCGTAGCAGATAAATTGTAAATATTACATTTGATAAAGACACGGTGTTGTCGAAACAATTGTCATGTCAAAATATATAATTTCGTGAAGATCTGAACTTTCAGTTCTTATTTATTTTGAAAAATGGATTTTCATCAAGTAAAAGGCACCTCAGTTCAATATAATTTCCCATCATTTGGTAATTGGGAGAAAACTTTAGGAAAACAAATGAAAAAGAACAGTTAATTGATATTTCAAATGACAAAACTCTGCGTATTTAATTTAGGTCTCTGACTAGTCAAAAATTTTGGTTATCCGCCGATTTGAAAAAAAGGGCAATCAATATTATGATTCCATTCGCATCGACCTAGAAAATTAGTTGCATTAAAACAAAATATCGATCTCGATTAGATCCAGAGGATGACTTACGGATTGCGATTTCCCATACAGTTTCGAACATGGAAGCGATCATGAGTTCTTTGCAAGCGTTTGTTTGCAAAAACTGAAGTATTTGTGAGAAAATGATATTTATTTTGATTTCGGTTAGGAAAAAGCCCAACTCTTGGTAGCATTAAATTCATATGCAATTAAAAAATAGTAGAATCCGGAAAACAATTAGTGGAGGAGTGGACATTCAGCAGGGCCTCAGAAGGCTTCATTCGAAGGCGAAAGTAAGGTCCGTTTACAGTTACAAGCCAGTAAAAACATTGTGATAAAAAAGAGTCAGTATTGTAAAAATCGATAATAAATAATTATTATAAATATCTTTGAGGCAAACGTAATATTTGTTTAAGTTCTTCCAGATATGAAATATGCTAAAAGTAAACTCATGGAACTATGCGTTTTCCTGGACATCATTTTAGTTTAATTCTTCTTAAGTGAAATGAAACGCATAAACGCTTACATCATTTGGATGAACTCGTCGAAATAAAAAAGGTTTTTTTTTTCCTAATTTAAATAAAAACGCGTTGCTAGCTTTCTGAGATACTCCAAAATGATCGGTCTAAATTTTATCTTGTAACACCAATTTTCACATATTCATTATAATAATAATAATAATAATAATAATATACTTTATTCAGGTAATTTCGACAAGAAAAGGCAAGAGTGCAGCGCCCAGACGTATCTGCTTGCCGATTTCTACACTTATCCTTACACATAACATCCCACCATGGTTTTGATTAATGTTTACAATTTACAATACGTACCCACTTAATTATATAACAGAATAAAAAAACCTAAACCTACCTCTGTAAAAAAAACTATTAGCTAAAGTACTGTAAATACCACAAATTTTTACAGAATTCTAGCAGTGCACATTGGTAAGATTCTTCCTACGCTCTGTAACTTCTCAATGTTTTTTTCATTTTTTTTCTCTTTAAATTCTAGAACATAACCACGTTTTTGGAAATGAATTTATTGTCGCATTCTGAACGGAATGGGGCATGTCATTATACAGTTTAGCCGAGTCGTAACTGAAAGATCTTTCAAATATACCAGATCGGTGACGAGGAACTATGACCCCTTTAAATCTTAGATTTAAGTTATTCACGTCTGTGCGATGGATCAAGCGCCGCGTCTTCGTCCAACCCGCTTCCTTCAGCTTGTAGCTGATAGGTCTTCCGCGGCGGATGCGGCAAGTAAACCTCAAGCAGTATTTTTGAATTTTTTCAATACGTTGTGACGAATTAGCTGTCAAATATTTTTCGCAGACCGAGAAAGTCCATTTAGAGTCAGGATGCAAAATAGTTATTCTTTTACCTCTGTTAGCTGTCAAACAAGGCCCATATACGACATCACAGTGATTAAAGACGGGGAGAACAAGAGCATCGCAGAAGGTTTTTTTAAGATTTCGATTTAGAATATGCCTTGAGCTATACAACCCTTTTAAACGGCCAATAGCCCTTTGCGTACAAGTCGAATTATGCTATTCAAAGCGAACTTTTGTATCTAAAAGTAATCCCAATTTTTTTGCCTCGTTTTGAAGCGGAAGAGTAATATTGTTTATTTTTATGATTACTTCAGAAGCGAGACGCTTAACATCCACCGGCCGAACAAAAAACATTACAGAAGATTTTTTTGGGTTTAAAAGCAAACCGTGATCCCTGGAAATTCTGTCAATTTGTTCAAAGGCACTGCTGATATTTTGGCACTCAAGCTGCAACCTAGAGGGGTCAAAAACATGCTAGAGCTGCTTGTCATCAGCATATGATTGTGCTTTGCAATGTTTGAGATAATCTAAGAATTTTGTTGTGAAAATAATAAACAGAACAGGACCTTAAATTGAACCTTGAGGAACTCCACTTCTTATGTCTAGGCAAGCAGACTCGACCCCGTTCAAGACCACCTTTTGCTTTCTCCCTGTTAAATAGTTTTTAATGAAATTTACGGATGCCTCCTCAAAATCTAAGTATTTAAGAATAGTGAGTAGAATATTGTGACTAATGGTATCAAAAGCCTTAGAATAATTGAGTAGAACCAACACAGCGCACTTACCTTCATCATAGAAAATTAAGTCATTCGTCCCTACATTCCTTACCGACCAATGCAATTTTAAACATCCCTGACAGATATATCGTGATATTGTTATTTCATAGAAAGGAACGTAAACTTCTGGTATAAAACACAGTTTCACTTACTTAACGAAAAAAGGAGAATTATTAATTTCATCAATTACTTGTTCATGAAAAACTTCAAATATGAACTGCAACAGATCATTCTGTACTTTTTTGCAAGTGCCTTTAAATATCGAATCTAATTCAGCAGAATAATTCCAAGAAATATCCCAGGACTGACTGATTTGTCCTATAAGCAGAATCCAATTGGTTGAAAATTCCATAGAATTATGAAGGTGCCTTTTAGAATTTTCACCCTTATTTTCGTCCAAGCTTTATAGCCAGCAAAAAGTAAGCAATATAGAGCAGTTTTTTTATTATCTCCACAATCCATTGATTTTTTGAGTAAATGTCCTCACTAAATTTCCGTGTACAACTTTTTTCTCTACTTACACCAGCTTTCTCTTTTACATAGTTCACAGGCAGTATAAGTTGTCAGAAATACACAAAAATAGAACCACAAAACCGCGAGAGTCAATTGCCGTTTCCATTTTTGACACATGTAGAGGTGACAGGTACTCTAGTACCTACTACATCAGAAATTGGTAGAAACGGACGTTATGGTCATTTTAATTCAAAAAGAAATGGCAGAGGATCATATAAATATAAATGTGGTTGGTCCGATGGCTTTGGAGTAATTAGCAGAACCAATTCGAATATTTGTTATGAAGAGAACTAATTCTTAGAATATGGGAGCTACCATACCTGGAAGTGGATATTGCAGGGTGGAAATGGATAAGAGAAGCCAAATAGCAACATATACTTTTATAACAAATAAAACACATTTTTCAATTCACGTAATTAGTGCAAAATTTTATTTCTTTCCCGCTTGCTTCTGTCAAAAGAGTTTTATTTCTTGTACTCGAGGAGGATGGCTAAGGAATCGGGAAGTATTGTTAAAAAATAAAAAATCAAGTTTTCAGGGGTCCTAAAAAGATAATTTGTCTCCGTAAACTTTTAATCCTGGTGATTTTTCAAAAATGTACAGGGAGCACAGCTTATTCAAAAACACTGAAAAATTGGCTATAACTAAGAGACTATGTGTTTAAGATATCAGTTTGTTTTACATGACGATATAGCCCGCACAAACAGCTAAACCTTTTGTATTTAAGATTGTACAGGGTGTTCAAGATATTGCGTGCCATGTTAAGAAAGTGTCTACACCCACATTTAAATTGTTGAAATATGATTCAAAGTATTTTTAATTTTTTTTTTAGGATATTTTGGCTATTTGCGAACCAGGAAATGCGGGAGATCCAGGAGCTTGACTTTTTCGATTGAATACAGGGTTTTTGAATTATAGACAAAAATCTAAAATACCCTGAAAATTGTTCTTTTCGTAAATCAAAATTCGTTTGGTTTACACAGTAATGTAACAATTTTTGAACAAGTCCATTTGGCAGCGATGGCTGATGATACTATTACGACGGTTTCGGAAAATAAGTATTTTCTCGAAAACCATGTACCCTATGAAAAAAAATTATATACCAGGGCTATAACTTTTATTTCGTGCATTTTTTGGGTTATGTACAAGGTGTGCCGATTATGGGCAAAAAAACTAAAAAAAGATCCTGATCCGTTTTCGTGGGTAAATTATTGCCTGTAAATAAAAACCCACAAAACATGGGTTAGTTTGGTTTAAACAGTATCGTAAACTGTGTCGAGGGAGAGTTTCAGATTTCGTCTATTATACAGGGCGCGCGAGATATTTGCCATTATTTGCATTTTGGTTAGATGTGAAAGTCACTTTATACTGCGTGCATACACAATAAAATTACATCGATTTTGCGAATGTTCTATACTGGTCGCAGGAGCACGATAGAAAAACAATGCGTCCCTCTGGAGTAAGAAGCCTTTAAAACTTATTAGTTAGTTAGAATTACTTTTGTAAATTCCGAATTTGGATCATGACACAAGTGACTGCTAATTTAGCACGGATAATTTTAAATACTTAAGACTCTATAGATGAGATTTCTAGCATTTATAGCCTTCCGGATTAAAATTGCAATCGTTCGGCTTAATTCCTGTTACGGAGACATTGTGCCAGTCGAAATTAAGACAAGCCCCATCAGCGCATATTATGTACACAGGTACAGCGGATGCAGCTACTTTTCCGACAATATTTCTAAACGTCAAATTGACTATGGGGATGTTGCCCACCGGGGTAGGATCCATGGTACCGTTTGCCGGTAGATTTCGGTAGTTTTGTTGGATGTTGATGCCGTACAAGACGGGTCCTGAAAAGAAGACGGCAACTTATAGTAAATAAACCATTCATTGCTATCATAAATGATTTGAAACGCGGTTAAACCTTTTTGTGGTCTGTGACACGTTTCAACATAACTTGATCATATTTATTAATTCTGATTGTCGCCAATTTCAATTGGCGTTATAATTTTGTTAATATTATTGCTAGTAAAGCGATAAAGTTATTGATTATTATTATTATAATCAATCGAGCATTTGATGAAAATTATTCGAAAAAATATCAATAACCAGTAACAGAAATTTTAATCCAAAGTACCTGTAAGATGTTTGGGATACAATATGTCCGATAGATTTTACATTAGACATTGATGAAATTTTTGGTTTTAAAAAGGCTGTGTTTTGTGGGTGCTAATATTTCGTTCATTTTTATAGACTATCATTTTCGTTTGGGTAGCGGTGTCTTTGTAATTTTACTGAAATAATACTATTTAGGCCAAAGCGGTACGACTTTTGGAAAGTTTGGGTGATATTGACGATTTGTTTTATTTTTCACAATGTAGATATGTTTAAAGAAAAATGTTGCTTATTGGGCAAAATGGGTGATCGGTAAAATGGGATATTTGCCTTTGTATTTTCTTTAGTTCATTTAATTGTGTTAGTTCTTCATAAAAAAATTCCAATAATCTTCGCATCATCAACAAATTGAACAGATCAATATGTAAATTATTAGCTATACACAATGTACTAGAACAATAAAGATAATGGGTATTCAAAATCTGGTGAAAGCGGCAGGTATTGCACAATAAAATAGACGTAATTGAAATAAATGCAGGAAATTATATATCTTTTGCATGGCATTTGTTTCGACTACACCTTGTCTTTATCAAATGTGCTATTTACAAACTACCTGCTACTATATATACCGAAAAATAACCATAAAACCCTTAATTAATGTTGTGAGAATTTAAGTTCAATAAAGGAGAGGTATTTAATTCTAATTGATCGTTAAGCAATACATTTGAATGTTTCATTTTGTTAATCTCCATTGCTTCCAATAAATTTAATTTTCTACTTTTTGTGGCTGTATGTAAAATATCAAAATTGTCGTCAGAAATGTGTTTTTCTGTGTTTACGTGTGTAGCATAATTAGAATCTAGACTATTGTTTTTAAACGCTCTTTTATGTTCGTTAATACGTTTCTTGAAGGATCTACCTGTTTGTACAATATAAATTTTAGGACAAGATCCGCATTTCAACCTGTAGACACCTTTGGACATTTTCGTTTTATTGTTTTTTAAAAATTTTCGACCGAGTGACTACCGGTATAAGTAGTCCCCCAGTTGCTGGTGAACAGTTTCGGGTGGAGGAACCAGCAACTGGAAGGGCAACTCATTGTCCTGGGGTTGAGAAATTGGCCCCGAAGGCGGAAGAACCACTAAGATGGTCAACGGCGTTGGGATGTAGAAGGAAAGGAGAAGCCACTACAGTAAAGATCCTATAGGATATCTCTAGTAAAATCATCATGGCAATAAACCAGACCAAAGACCTTACTGATCATGATATTCGGAAGTCAAGATCCGGCAGGAGGGGAAACAGGGCCTCTCAGGTCGTCAACATGCGAAAACCCTGTCAAATGACTAGTAAACAAACATATAAGATTGGAACATGGAATGTCACTAGCATGTATGAACCCGGAAAAGCACATAATATTGTCCAGGAAATGCAAAGAATGAACATCAATATCCTAGGTGTAAGCGAAACGCGTTGGCCGGGAAGTGGAGAATGTCAGTTGAAAGATCAACATCTAATATATTACTCAGGTAGCTCCGACCCTCAGCACCGACATGGAGTAGGCATAATAATCAACAAAAATGTTTCCCGATATGTTCTGAACTTCGTACCACTGTCAGAACGTGTAATGTTACTACAATTTAGGATGAACATAGGAAGGATGAACGTAATCCAAGTATATGCGCCAACAGCAGACAAAGATGATCAGGAAGTAGAAATGTTTTATGAACAAATAAACGAAATACTGAAACAAGTCAAAGCAAAAGATGTAACAATAATAATGGGTGACCTAAATGCTAAAGTTGGTAAAGGAAAGACAAATAATCTAATGGGAAACTTCGGTCTGGGGGAAAGGAACGACAGAGGTGAAAGGTTAGTACAATTCTGCCAAGAGAAAAATATGGTTATCACAAACACATGCTTTCAATTACCTAATAGACGTTTATATACATGGATATCACCACAAGATAGCAAAGAGAAAATAGTTAGAAACCAGATAGATTATTTAATGATCAATGAAAGATACAGGAATGGTATAATGTCAGTTAAAACATATCCGGGTGCAGATATACCCTCTAACCATAACCCACTAATTGCAAAAGTAAGGATAAAATTAAAAAGAATTGACCATAGAACAAAGAAAGATACAATTGACACTAATCAATTGCGTAATCCAGAAACAAGGGAAAGAGTGAAAAATAAGATAAATGGGGCATTGCAAACCTTGCAATGCATAGAAAATAACAATGAAGAACATATAAACAACAACTGGCTCCAGTTTAAAACAGAAATACTAAAAACATGCAAGTAACAACTTAGTAAGAAAACAGAGGTAAGAAAGGAATGGATGACAACTGAAATATTAGGTCTCATGGACGAGAGAAGAACATACAGAAACAAAGATCAACAAAAATACCGATATCTACAAAGCAAGATCAGAAGTAAAATTAGGGAAGCCAAAGAAGACTGGCACAGGGAAAAGTGTGAGGAAATCGAGAAATTGCAAAGTAAACATGATGGTTTCAATGTGCACAAGAAAATTAAAGAGTTAACCAACAAACGCAATTACAATAACAACTTGCTGGTGGATGAAAATGGAGATATTATTATGGACACAAAAGAAAAATTGAAAGTATGGAAAAACTATGTAGAACAACTGTACGAAGATCAGCGAGATGAAGAAAGTAGTGAGTATGTATGTGATGATACTGGACCAGAAATAACGAAGGACGAAGTAGAACACATCATCAAGGAACTGAAAACCGGGAAAGCTACGGGACTGGATGAAATACCAGCAGAAGTTCTTAAACTCATTGACAATCATAACATACATCTTCTAACACATCTCTTCAACAGTGTATACAAAACTGGAATTTTACCGAAAGAGTGGCTACAATCAACATTTATAACTATCCCCAAAAAGACCAACGCAAGACAGTGCTCGGACCATCGTACTATCAGCTTAATGTGTCACATACTTAAGGTACTTCTGAAAATCATCCATCGCAGAATATATAAAAAGTTAGAAATAGATATTGAGGATACGCAGTTCGGTTTTAGGAATGGACTAGGGACTAGAGAAGCACTGTTTGCCTTCAACGTATTAACGCAGCGGTGCTTAGATGTAAATCAGGATGTGTACGTTTGTTTTCTGGACTACAATAAGGCATTTGACACCGTCCAACATAAAACACTCATAAGACTGCTTAAAAGTAAAAACATTGACTCTAGAGACATAAGAATAATAAATAATTTGTATTACCAACAAGAGGCCGTGATAAGGGTACACAATGAGGTGACAGACAGAATAAAAATAAAAAGAGGTGTTAGACAGGGATGTGTCTTATCACCATCTCTGTTCAACCTATACTCCGAAGAAATATTTAAGAGAGCACTCCAAGATGAAACAGCTGGTGTAAAGATTAATGGCTTACCCGTTTGTAATATTAGATATGCCGATGACACCGCGCTAATAGCAGAAAATATGGATGATCTACAGAGAATTACGAACAAAATTGTAGAAGTAAGCGAAGAGTTTGGGCTATCACTCAATACAAAGAAAACTAAATTTATGATAATTACAAAAAAATCTATTATCAATACAAACCTTTATATAAAGAATGAACAGATAGAACAAGTAAGGAATTATAATTATCTGGGGACGAACATTAACGAGACAAATGACTATTCCAAAGAAATCAGAATAAGAATAGAAGAGTCCAGAAGTGCTTTTAATAATATGAGGAAATTGTTGTGCAGCAGGGATTTGAGCTTAAGTTTGAGAGTGAGGATGCTTAAATGCTATGTTTTCTCGGTCCTCTTGTATGGCGTGGAGGCCTGGACTTTGAATAAACAATGCCTGAATAAACTAGAAGCTTTTGAGATGTGGACGTACCGAAGAATTTTAAGGATATCCTGGACGGACAGAATGACAAACGAACAAGTACTTGTGAGGATGGACAAGCAACGTGAAATAATGGATACGGTCAAAATAAGAAAATTGCAGTATCTGGGGCATATTACACGCGGAGAAAAATATAAATTGCTACAACTGATTATGCAAGGTAAAATCCAAGGTAAACGGAGTATCGGAAGGAGAAGGATGTCATGGTTGCGTAATCTGAGAGAATGGTTTGGATGTAACTCCAACCAATTGTTTCGTGCTGCAGTCTCAAGGATACGAATTGCATTGATGATTGCCAACCTTCGCAGCGGAGATGGCACGTGAAGAAGAGAGAAAAATTTTCCGAATGTCTTCTTAGTTCTGAAAGATATTTTTAAACCACATTGTGACCAACGTTTTGAAACTTTTTCACTAGGTTCTCCTATGTATGTAATTGTTTTAAATTGTTCGTGTTCTGTATTAGGTTTCGGATAAATAGAGTTTAATGTTGTCTGTATTTGTTTTTTATTTATAATTTTTTCTAAAATGGACGGATTGTAGCCGTTATTCAGTGCAATTTGCTTAATGATATTAATATGATATTTTGCAAATTATCCATAAAAATCTCGGCTAACAAAGGACTAAGTGGGTTTCCCATAATCAAAGCACCGAACAACGGCTACAATCCGTCCATTGTAGATAAAATTATAAATAAAAAACAAATCCCGACAACAGTAAACTCTATCGGAAACCTAATGCAGAACACGAACAATTTAAAACAATTACATACATAGGAGAACCTGGCGAAAAAGTTTCAAAACATTTGTCAAAATGTATTTTAAAAATAGCTTTCAGAACTAACAACACAATAGGAAAATTTTTAAAAATATAAAACGAAATATCCAAAATCTCAAAAATCAGGTGTCTGCAGGTTGAAATGCGGATCTTGTCCTAAAATGTATATTGGACAAACAGGTAGATCCTTCAAGACACGCATTAATGAACAGAAAAGAGCGTTTAAAAACAATAGTCTAGATTCTAATTATGCTACACACTTGAACACAGAAAAATACATACAGCCACAAAAAGTAGAAAATTGAATTTATTATAAGCCGTGGAGATTAACAAAATGAGACGTTCAAATATATTGCTTAACGATTAATTAGATTTAAATACCCCTCCTTTATTGAACATTAACTAATATTTTTATGGTTATTTTTCCGTACATATAGTAGCAGGTAGTTTTTAAATATTACATTTGACAACGACACGGTGATGTCGAAACAATTGTCATGTAAAAATATTTAATTTCGAGAAAATCTGAACTTTTAGTGTTTATTTATTTTGATAAATGGATTTTCATCAAGTAAAAGCCACCTCAGTTCAATTTTTGAAATAAGTGCCGCCACTGTTTCAGCTACACGATAAAGAACGCAATAACGCGAGAAAGAGATAGGACGCTTATTTCGCGCATCGAACATTGACGTCACTGGGCTCTTCCCTATTGAGACAGAGAGAGACAGTGTGTAATTTGTTTATTTTGAGTTTTTCCTTAGTTATAGGATCTAATCTTGGTATTTTACTTTTTAGTTCTTTGCTGCCAAATTTAATTCGGGAAAGAAATAAAAACTTTTATTATTAATGTCATTAGTTAAATTTCTTGACGTAAATTGTGGAAAATAACAGTGGCTCTATATTCTATATATAATTCCCTGTCCTTTCTTCCACCGAACTATTGCCTTCGATCGATAAATCGAATCATAATACTGATAATCTTGAGAGACTTCACGGAAAAAACATACTTTCAACGACTGAAGAAGAAAAAATGGCCGGATTTACCTTCGAAATTGATATTCTCGTAGAGCACGTTACTTATTCTTCCGTTAGTTGCGTCGGCGTGCGTTTTAATGTGAATTCCATTTTCACCATTGACCAGAGCGCAATTTCTTATTGTCACGTTATCTACCGAGTTTTCGGCAAAAGTGGCATTTTCGAAACCCACCGATATACTCAGTCCGTGACCTCCGTGGCAATACAAGCCCTCCACAAGGAAATTCGAACCTGAAACGCGCAATCTTTATGTTATGTTTCTTTTTGGTGCAATGTACTTCCCACACTTTATAAACTAGTTCGAAGACTCAAAGACGAACAACGACATTTGTTATAATTTTTTCGCAATAGGCATTTTCACGAACCGTAACGCGTTTGAAATACAGAATATTTATGAATACGAAGTTTTACTTCTTTTTTTTTCTCTATCGGGGTTTTCTCATTTTTTAAAAAGTATTCAACAGAAGGCGAGTTTCACAAGTTTCCATCCATTGGAAGTAAACGTTTCAATGGCATTTAATTTTTTTCGTGTATTTTGTTAATTATTTTGCTTAAATATTTCTTTAACTGATTTTATGTTTACAGAAGATGAAAGCTTTTAACTAAATCATAAAAAAAGAATATATTTCTTTAGGTCATAAGTGCTTACTTTTCCCTTAAATTTAGGAAAGAATAATGAGAGGAATAGTATAATTTTGAAAAAAAAATAGATATTAATATTAACTTATTTTATTTTCGATTTTAATATAAAAAAATAAAACATATTTTTTCCCAGATCAAAATGTTCGTATTTGTTTTGAAACACCCTGTATAATACAGACTCTTCGTACCTGAATTGATTGCCACGCAATCATCCTGATTGGAAATAGACGAGTTTGTTATGGTCACATTGGTCGAAGCTCTAACTTGTATTCCGTCCGTATTATGAGCAAATTTTTGAGGAGGGGCTACTCCCTGAAAATAAAAATAGCATCTAGAAAGTAGTAAATTAATCAAACAGTCTGATTCAATTTGATTTTAAGTCACAAATGATTACCATCAACAAAGAACAAAGGCAAATATTGTTGTTGCAATAAATTGTATTAAAAAACTGAATGAATATGATAAAATGATGTATTCATGAAATTCTGGTCGTTCTGTCCATGGTTTAATGTTCCGTAATAACGAAAGTTCCTCCTAATCTAATCTTCCAATCTTTTAATTGTGCACTTTGAAGAACTTCTTCATGTCTTATGCGAGTTACCTACTATGCACCATTCAAAAGAACGTTTCATAATCGGCGCGGCACATGAAACACCTTATCTCTGGTACTGATAATTTTGACCCAAGGTTTGCATGCTGGATATAGCTTCTTTTGTTCCGAAACCATTTTTAAACCCGAACGGACAATTGCCGCTAGCTTCTTCGTTTTTTATGGAGCATATTATGCAAATGTCCCAAAAGAGCTTCAAGATATGGCTCATTAGACTTCCAAGTTTATGTACTATGTCATTTTGGTTAGAACGAAGAAGTCAGTCTTCTGGAAGATGTCTTGCAACATAAATGTTATTAAAGAGTTTTTACATTACGTTCATATAAATTGGGACCTGGGCCTGTGGACTTACTATTCTTCATAAGCGGTCAGCTCTCCTAATTAAACCGTTGGGTTTGTTTGGTTAGTATTCCTTCCAGATTTCCAATATTCTGCCTGCATCTGCTACGATTTTATTATTTTCCTGTACTGGATTTTTCTGAAAGATCACAGCAATTTCTTTAACCATTTTATGTAGGCTAGAAGTATCACTAAGATGGTTGAGATGTTTCTGATTCATTTTTATTTGTTACCTGTATTGTTACTATCGTCCCCAATTCTGCATTTTCTTCGTTCTTCCATTAGATTTAATATTTCTTTGATCATCAATTCGCTTTGCGTTTGTCAGTTTGGGGAATCTTTTCGTTTGACTTTTGAAAAGTTCTTATGTTATACCAACATTCTTCAACATCACTTGGCAACGATGATTTTGTGTACTCGTTCTGAATATCGGAGCAGTTTTATGTCGAATCTTTTCTGTGTGTATTTCCTTTTGGCTTTAGCTAGATGTATCGAAATATTGGCCCCAACTAAGATGTGATTTGATTTGATATCAGCACCTGGCATTGTAGTAACCCTGGTTGTTACATTCTTGAACCTCTGATTCATCATGATGTATTTATTCTATCTATCTTGAGGCGATTTCCAATAACTAAATTATTGTCCTCACAGTACCACTGGTCTCAGGCCATAGTCTCGAACTACTGTTCTTGCTTTACCCATACCTACTTTGGAATTAAGCTCTTTCATACGTATGTTGATTATGAAGGAGTCTTTCCAATCTACAATGATCACGCTTATGCGAGTTTTTTATATCGCAGTTTAGTTTAGGTTTTTTTTGTAAACCGTGATGCGGTACGTTTTCCTAGGGCTATCCACGGCAGTTACTTGCCGGGCCGCGTATTGTACGGAGTCGTGAGAAAACGGTTGCATTGTCGTGGTCGAGTTTCATTTCACGTTAAATGAATACATAACAAATAAAATATACTAATGGTGGTTATATTTAAATTTTAACATTTTATTTGTTTTTGACATTTGACTGCATTTTTTGTAATAAGGGTCCGAAATAATATCCGAACTACTTAAGAAAAGAACCAGGTCTCTCTGCCTTTGTTTTGTACTCCAATTATCCGGAAAATCTCACCTCGTCACCCGCCAAATTGTCAATGGTCCAGTTGTCAATTATGACGTTGCTGGATACGTTTATTTTGCTGCAGGCTACTGGACAGTTCAGAATTTTGATGTTTGAGAACATGCTGTCTCGGGCTTCGATGCGCAAGAATCTGGGTTTCTCAAAAGTGCTCCAAGTGCCTTGACCGTCCCAGTAGCGTTCTCCCTGACCATCGAAAACCGCACCTAGAAGTGATAACACAAATTGCAGCTTGATAAAGGGTCCTAGAACGTCGTATGAATTCCTTACGATTCTAGATCCACTATAAAAAAACTGTATTTAACTGAATCTTCTCCAAAGTAGTTAAAGAATATAGTTAGAGAGATTAAACGATAGCGTAAAGGTTATTTTTAATTTTTTCCAAAAGAACTTCCGTCTGCAGTTAAGATCTTAAAAAGATGATTGGCGAAAAGGCAGCAAGTTTGTGGTGTAAATAGTTTTAGTTTTAGTGGTTTCAAAAGTTATGGTAAAAGTATGGTAAATTCAAACGATTGTTAAGATGCACAATTAAAAATTAAAAGTACACTGCTCAAAAAAGTATAACAAATAAAATATACATTTTTAATACCTAAAAAAATACTATTTTTCAAGCCATTTGGAAATAACGGACAAATTTTAAATTTAAAGAAAAAGTAAATAATATTAAATACCTTATCTTATTTTTAGTTATTATTATGTGACAACAATTGTTCAAAGATATACCCTTCTACTTGGATACAGTCTTTTTTCTTAAAGGTTCATTAGCAATAATGATGATACTCTCCTGCAAGGGTACCGAATCATATTTCACAAATTTTCGCAAATCACATTTGTTGAATTTCAATGTTATCAAGTTCTTGAAAAAGTTGAGGTAAATCATTCCGCAGAAAGGTTAAATATATGGGACGGTGTTTATAAAAGCAGGCTTACCATCAAAGAAAGAAAAACTCGTTATATTGGGCACATATTGCGAGGTCGAAATATGAACTTCTGCGACTAATCATAGAAGGTAAAGTCCAAGGCAAAAGGTCGATCGGAAGGCGCCAAAACTCTTGGTTGTAGGGTATTCGACGATGGTTTGGTTGCTCACCTTCGAAAGGAGACGGCGCCATAAGAAGAAGAAGATTAAGATCTCGTAAAAGAAAATTAAGAAGCTTTTCTTTGTTATTATTAGTACGGGCGATATAATTATTATTGGTAATGGCTATTTATCTGTATTTATCTTTCCCTAAATAGTGCCTTGAGTTCTACGTTGTTTGGGCTATATTTTACTTATGTATAAACGATATCAAAGAGACACTCATGTTTTTCTCTTTTTTTTGGTTAATAAGAGTTTCGGCTAATAAGGTCCACTGATTTTTCGGTATTCTTCTTAGTTTTCCATCAACGATGCCACCGAAATTGAAAAAGCGAGCGAACTGGACAACACAAAGAGAAGCTGCTCAACGATATGGAATACCCAGGAGAACTCTTAGAAAAGATCGTCGCTCTGCATACAAATTCTGCATTGAAAATAATATCAGGCACCCATTTGATGCTTCCAAAGGAGTCGCCGGTAAGGATTGGCCCTATGGATTGTTGAAAGGTAATCCTAATTTGTCTAGGTGCAAGGCGCAACAAATGAACCCAGCCCGTGCCCAAAAATTAAATAAATTTATAGTGGATGATCACTTTAATAGCTAAAGTTTTTAATGAAATGCATTTTGCATTAGCACCAAAATCCACAGAACGTTTTCAATATTTACGAAAAGGGATGCCGAATAACTATTCATCATCAACAGCTTGTTATTGGGCAAAATGGTGCCCGACGTGTTCGTAACACAACAACGTTAATGGTAATAATGTTAACGACGATACGGTAACGATAATATTATTGATATTAATATGCAAGAAAAATATTCAAGGAAATGTCTCTGATAAAATCCAAAACGATGAAAGGTACAAAACACTTGTCAAGACTGATAACACGATCGCAGATAAGAGACAGACACAAGAAGAAAGTGAAGACGTTAATAAGCCATTTAAGGAATTTATTCCTACACCGAAACTGTACAAATTGAAAGAAAATAAGACTTTAAAAAGGAAATCCCTAAAGTTCTAAATTCAGACCTACAATGTTAAAAAAAACAATTCGTAGTCATTATCATCGAGTGTGTCGAAAAAATATGTTTATAACTGTTTATGTAAAAAATAACTAAATGTACATTACTTATTGTAGCCTTGTTTTAGGTGGGCCCTTATAACCGACCCCAATTTTTTTTGTGGGCTTTATTAAGAAAGCCCAATGACTGTTGTTTTTTTTTAAAGTGTGCCTTTAATACTGAACGTGTTCCTGTAGTTTCATTTAGAAGAGGCTGAATTAAGATAATATTTGTATTTCGTTATGAAGCAATTCCTTGGACGTCTTAATTGCCTCAGATACCGTATTATTTTTACGTACCAAACTTCCCTGCAAAAGAGAAGACCTATTTTTGCGTCTCTACGAATGTGTTCCATGTTTGATATTTGATTTCTATTATATCCAAAAGGAAAACTGTACATAATTGAGTTATTTATCAAACTTAAAAACCAACCTGGTTCTCCAACGACTGTGAGTGAACTTCCCGCAATCAGAACCACCGGTCCACTCCAATAACCAAACTCAAAGGAGATATTTCCCCTCAGGGTAACTTTGGTTCCCTCTTGAAGGTTCAGTGTAAGGGTCGTTGCGGAGGGAACGATGAGGTCGTCTATGGCGATGTCGGTGCAGTTGGAGATAACGGATTCCACATCTTCGTACTTGGATATTACGCATTGCTCTTGGTGACTTGAAATGACCAATTTTAGGAGCAACATTAAGACGTAGATGGTTGCCATTTTAACGCCAATTACGGATATGAATGGCTTTGAGTTTGTCGTGTCGAGTTTATATCTTGCCCGGTTCCGTCATCTCGCTGATACGCTGCCACTTAAATTCATCCGAAGTATTCAAAGCGACAAAGTTGCGGCAATTTTAGAAGAGGGAATATCAAATAGATTTTTTAAGCACCTGAATTTTATCGGAAGTACGCTCAGAACAAGCTTCAATTTTGAAGATTTTTGCGCAGACAGCTACATTTTATATTTTGGTTACGTTTCATATTCTAATTAAATCCTTTTGGGTCATCGTTTTTTAGTAATCTCTAACATGTCTATTAGATAATTCCCGGCGAAAAATTGAAATTTTAATTAAAATGCAGGCATATGATTGGAACTGATAATAAACAGTCCTATTACTACAGTAAAACATAAAACGAGCACTAATTATCGGGATATAACTATAGATAAATATAGACAGATAACAGAGGTCTACAAAATTAAACTTTCTCACAAATGTTCTTTCTATTTTGAAAACCGGTTTTCCATAATTTTGATTTCAAAAATTATTTGTATCGCGTAAGGTTTTTTTTTTAAGAAAAACGATATTTCTAAAATAATTTATTTTATAGTGTTGTAACATATTTTGAACAATATTTTCGTAGTTTTTGTCCTTAGAGTTACCAAAAAAACGTATCAATTACTTCCTTAAATTCGTTTTTCTCGACATTGGTCATTGTGTTTAGAAAATCTTTGTCTTTGCTGAATATTCTTATCTACTGCCCAACAAAAATACCTTTTTGGCATCTTAGAAATTTGTCGCGCAAATATCAAGCCAAGTTTGATATCAACAGGACGCAGTAAAACTTTTTTGGGGTCAACTAAGCTATCTCTTAATACATTTTCGCTAGCGAAAGGCTTTTTCTAGAGGGTCATTCCATTTGAGTCCAACCTTTCCAATCCCTTGCGCCACAAAGCATCCACTGATGTTCTTGGCAAGTTTATTTTCTTCGAAAGAAGTCCTAACTTTCAAGGTGCCTGTAAATGCTTATCTGGAGCCCAGCAAAATAACATTTTTAAGATATAGAGCGCTATAGAAAAATGACGTGAAGTAGGGCACCCAAAAATATACAAGTATTATTAATAAAGGAACTAAAATTTCTTTTCACTTAAGTTTGTTAACCTAAAAGGCACTAGACTAGACTAGAGTAGACATAAATGAAAATTTGAAGTTTCTTAAAGTGAGTCTTTTTACCATTGGTTTAAATATTTACTGGTAGAAGAAGCTTAACTATTTGGTAGGAAAAAGAACTTTTAAACCTTTGTGAAAAATGACACTGTGGTGAAAGTCTATTCCTAATTAATATTGTGAACATCTGAACTGTAGCGAATTTTTCTATGTAGATATTCTGGGGAAGTATGGCTAATTCTGTTAATTTTTCGCATACCAAAAATTAGCCAAGAACAAGAATTCTGTAGCTTTTGTATTCGCTTTGCATCTTGAATTTTTAAGTATGAGTATCGCAGAAAAAGTTGTTGACATTTTCAAAAGGGTACGCCCAGAAGATATCTGTAATGCATTAAAGCGTTAAGGCAACTACAGACAGACGTTTATGTTCCCCTTAATGTAATTGCTGATTGTCTCAACGTTGCTGTGCTCCAAATGAGGAATAAAAAATAAAACCTGCCGCGGGTAGCGTAAAAATTGTCTTCCGCAAAAACGAAAGTTTTCTCTCATACATTGATTCAAAAAAGTACTTTTTTTTTCAAAGAAAGAAGTAATATCAATTAATTAATTATTAATTAAAAAAGAAGTAATATTAATAAAAAATTGCATTAATTCATTTACTTCCGAAGAACTAATTCATTAAAGCAAGGGATGGTAATTCATTAATCCATTGCTTTGCGTTTCATTGATTCAATGCTGCTCTTTAGTGTAGGATATATATAATATTTATGAATATGAATCTTTGTATCAATAATAGTGTAATAATTAGTGTTCTTGCAAACCACACTTTTTAAGTAGATTAAAGGAAATTTACTTTTCCTGAATTTCTGATTTACTAAACTTATAAAAAATGCTTACTGAAATAATACAATGTGTCCCAGATAACATGTTAACAGTTCAACCTTGTTTCGATTTTTCTTCTTTTTTCTAATTGTTGAAAAAAACCAAACCAAAATTATTAAAAAAATGCTATAAAATTCTCTAATTGAAAATAATTTTTAAATCAACTTTTTAAAGCTTTCGACTGATATATTCAATTCATTTAAATATTTTTTCTTATGGCTAAAATCAATAGATTATTTTACTTTTTAATAATATCAATAGTATATTCGTTGTTGTTCGTGCCTTATTCATTTTTGTCTTTTTAATATTTTGTTTATTTGTTGATATTGTTCTAAATAAAGGAAAACATAACAATCAAATATCCCAATATAAATAAAATGTATTGTATTGTTAAATTTTATAGCACAAAGTAACTAATATTAAAACCAATCCCATTCTGATTTCTCAAATTTCATTCGGCAGAGCAGTAATTTTATAGTATTAAAAAAAATGCATGGCGATACAAATTTTTTGCGTGCACGTTTTTGAATGCGCACACATAAGTGCGGATATGAACGCCCGTGTGTGGCGATCTTTAGACATGGCTGACGCAATGAGCAAAACTGCTGATTTCGTAAGTACGCCTTCTCGGATGCGCAAACATCTAAGGGGGACAACATAGGGGCTTCATTGCCAAGCTCTTCTCTACATGAGACCGGTACAGGTGGTTCAAAAAGACTATGCTGGTCAACTACGTGGTCGGTGATCCTGTCACGTTCTCACTTATTTTTATCGCCGATCATACAAATAATTTAATATTCCAATCTTATCTAATTTCTGTATTATTACTGATGAGATTCTGACGATATGGTTGAACAAGGTGGTGGAGAGTGGTGGCAATGTTGGACTTACGTGCTGATACCATTATCACGTGCGCTGTGTGACATTCATGGCGTACTTGCGTAATTAAGATTAGGAGATTAGAGCCAACGTCGATAAGGAGATAAATTGTTGCCTGGTCAAATTAATAATTGATGGAAAGTTCTTCAATCATGACTTCAAATCATTTATTTGAAAACAATATGATGCTTTCGTATCTGTTATAAAGTATCATGAAGTTAAAAATGCTACTTCTGAGTTTTATTTCCACTTATTGTCATTTAATTAAACTCGAAGTTTTTTTAAAATTTAACTTTAATAGATTTGGACTACTTCAAAAAGCCCAGAAGCGAAAATTTTACAATAACGAAAACAAGAAGTGCTACATTTTACAGTGTTCACAGATATAAGAAAATGACTAACTGATACGAATTAAGAAAAGACCCGGGCAAACTGTCAGAATGAAATATGGCCCAACAATATTTATTTATGTACTTATGTTTAAATCTAAAATAAAATTACAAATTATTTTTATTACCTACTTAAATTACTTAAAATTATTCACATAATATATCAGTATCATTATTGCTATCATCGCCTGTTCTAATTATTATTAGTTTGAGGACATTGGAGTTAACACGGGGAAAACATTGTTACGACGAATGGCAGATTTCAGTTGGTGCCAAACATGTTCAATGGGAATAAATATATAGTAGTAAGCCTTAAAACTGTATGCCCTCCATTTTTTGCATAATTATCACAGACGTATTCCTTTTGTAGGTTCAAGCTTTGTAGAACCTCAATTAATTGCTTTTTGGTATAATCTTCGTGAAAATAAGTGTCGTTATTATACACGTAGTTTTGGATTGTTGATTTTGCGTCACATGAGGAAGGGGTTTTAGTCAACTGTCTACTGTGATAACTTGCATTGTCCATTACAATGACGCTATTAGGAGGAATGTTGGGAACTAGTTTGTTGTTAAACCAACTTTCAAATAAATCAGCGGTGGTGTCTTCATGGTAACCCAGAGAAGAATCTTTAATATTTTTCGCAGACCGAGAAAGTCCATTTAGAGTCAGGATGTAAAATAGTTATTCTTTTACCTCTGTTTGATGGCGCGTTTGTTTTACACTTATCAGTTGAGGCAACCCAACCCTTTTCCGGGGTATCATAAGTATCGAACCAGGTGTCATCCAAGTAAATAATTGGACTTTATTGTTCTCTGTAAATCCTAAATAATTCTAAAAGATTCCATTAAAACTTGCCTTTTGTCAATTTTTTAAATTTAAAACCCATGTGTTGAATACACTTTCATAAGGAAATTCTGCCACATTTAACACCGGTTTCTTCTTTTTCAAGCCTGCTACTTAAGATATCTAATGTAGGCACGCTTTATTCCTCGTATAACTGGTAAATTTTACGCCGTATTATATCGTGATCACTTTCATCTACACTCGAGAAAATGTCAGCATCGCTTCTTTTTTTCCTCGCTGAAATGGGATTATTCACAATTTTCCATACAGTTGATGTTGAAATTTTCGTCAATGTCGCCGTTTCTTCTAAAGTTCACGTTCAATGAGAATCAAATAAACATTGTTTATAACTTCCTTAGTCTCAATAGCATACACTAGACTCGCACATATTTTGCACACGAAATAGGAATGATTACTAAAAAACTTAAACTAAGTAGTATATCAAACCAAAGAATATTAAGCACAGGTAGGTATAAAATTATTTTCTATTACGGACCACAATTTTACCTGAATTTAAATTCCGAAACTTTAGGTAATAAGCTTGTTGAATTGTATGATAATCCCATTCCAAAGCAATTGGTCACTTTCTCATATCTATGAACAGACCATACCACCGTAAGCGGTGGCTATGAGGATCTTTAATGTGCGATGGTTACAAACAATAATTATCATTAATTAATTAAAATCTTTCAAATCAACAATGTCCGCTAAAATTTGAATCAAAGAAGAATCAGCGAGCCATTAAGACTTTTTTCCCATACTATTTCTGGAACCTGTGACTGAAACTACACACCGGACCAAACAGTTGTCTCCGACCAATTTGGCTGTAAACAAATTTAATTATAGATTATTATGATGTCTCTCTCTTTATTTAGAATATTTTCACTGAATCTGTAAGTTCTACAAAGTCTATTTTGGAAGCTACGACCCTGGAAACACTACAGCCACTGTGAGAGTAATATAAATAAATTAGGAAAGTAGATTTGCAGAGAAACAGGAAATGAGATTCGAATATTATACCTACCAAATTAAATTTTGTAACACTTACAGATCCAGTTAGACTGTAATAAATAAAGGCAGGAATTGTTTAATGCTTTTTTTTTGAAAATCTATGTTTCTCTCTTATTGCAACAAAGTCTGCATGTTTTACAAAGTATAGTTCGATAGACATCATATATCGATCATTTAACCCCTTCCACTTCTGATTTTTACAAGTCTACGTGTATTTCCAATAGTCTCCCTGAATTTGTAGCTTTTACAAAGTCTGATTCGATATACATATTATTTAAACTTACTAGATACATTTGCTATTTACACCCAATCAATCAAATATTTCGCTTAAATTCCTCAAAATTCTTATAGTTTAATGCACCTAGTTGATACAGCAGGATGCAAATAGTAAGTATAGAATGTAATTTTTTTCACACTTGTGCTTCTGTCAATTTTAAAATCAATAGATAAACAACAATAGAGATGCCGACGTCGTCAGCTGATTCTCTAATAGTGATTAGACGACTTTTCAATACCATTTGTTTCACTTTTCAACAATTTTTTGTCGCAAATTTGTTAAAATATATATATATATATATTTACTTGTTTTCAAACAATAAAATATGTGGCAGACCTTGAATATTGAATGAATGGGATCATGCCGACTTCTCCTATTTAAAAATATATCCGGCGAAAACTACCCAATAGAGTAGTATGTTATAGAGTGACACGAATACCATATGACACCAACTTAGTTTTTCCAGGGGTCACTCCAAACTTCTATTATCAAAGGTTTACCTTCAATTCCCTAATGTGTTTTGTGTTGTTTGATATATACCGATTATAGGCAACATTTGTTACACATAGCGCGCGTTTGAAACTGCAGCGAGGGCCAAATCTTGGCAGAAAATAGCGATGATCTGGATGATTGTAAACTGTTGTGATAAAATTTTTATACAAAGCATCCTTCATTCATTGAATATGTAATGTAATTTTTCATTCCTCGGTTAAGTCAACTTGACGTGAGCATGAAATAAAATGTAAAGTAAGTTGCCTATGCAATGAATATGAAACACCAGTGCATAAGCACGTTGTTATTCGCCAGTAGCAGTTTTTAACTGATTGGTGACGTCTGGTGGTAGCAGACCTCCACTATGAAATTATTGGAGATTTTCTGCTTACAGAGGTATATGTGTTTATTAACACCCTGAAAAGATTCATAAATTACGAGGACATGTACGAGGGCAGCGCCATAATTTGAATTTGAAAATGAAAGAAACAAAGTAGAGTAACAATTTTTTATTATTTTTCAATGTAATCCCCCTTACTTCAATACAGCTATTATATCTCTTTATTAAAAAGTCAATTCCTTTAAAAAATATTCTCTTGGTTTGTCTACGAAATAAGCTAAAACAGCCTCTTTTAACTCAACTTCGTCGTTAAGCCGCCGTCCACATAAGTCCTTTTTCAAATATCCAAACAAAATATAGTCGCTGGGGGCCATATCTGGACTATAGGGAAGATGATCTGTCTGTTGGGACCCACACTCTAAAATGGCAGCTTGTGCAACACCAGCAGTATGGACAGGCGCATTATCGTGCAAAAGACGCACGCCTCTGGTTAGTTTTCCTCGACGTTTTACACATATGCAGTCTCGCAAATTTATGTAATAATGTTGCTTGATATTTACTATTGACAGTGGTATTAGTTTCTTTAAAATCTATCAAAAGAATTCCTTCACAATCCCAAAAGATCGCGGCCATCACATTTTTTGTTGACTGGGAGACTGAGTTTTCTTGAAGGTGCTTCATCCTTACGACGCCAATCCATTGATTCTTTTTTCGATAGAATATTTCCCGTCGCAATAGTTTCTATCACAGGCTTCGGTTCCGACCCACAGAGTTTCAAAAAAGACCGCGCACACTCGACACGGCATTGTTTTTGAATAGCCGAAAGGTTTTTAGGAACCCATTTTGCACTAACCTTATGCATACCTAAATGATCATGCAGGATTCAACGAACGCTTGTATCAGAAAGCTTAGTAATTTCTGCGATTTCCTTGACCTTTAAATGTCGATCACTTGGTTTAATCGCATTTAATAAACAAAACGCGTGTAGTTGGTGGTATTATCCTATACCATGTGTTTCGCGGTGCGTCGAGTGAATTGGTCGTGTATTCAACCCGATCATTTTGAAAGTGACTGTCATGGCGGAGCTATATCAGCAGTATCCAGCTGGCGGTAAAATGTAAGTTAAATACATAGTACACTGTGCCAACCAGCACAAGTCATCCCCAGGCTACAAAAAAACCTTCAGAGATTGATCATTTGCTTTTAATATTCTGCCTCCACTTTCTAAGATTGCGAAGAAAATAATGGACAAGCAGCCAAGAGCATTTCTCAATATTTACAGTATTTTGCCCACGAAGCAATCGATTTTTACATTTTGCTTGATTTTAGCAAATTTTAGTAGCAGTGCGATATACAGGTGTACCAAATTTTATTAGGGATATAGAATACCTATCCATCATCTATCTATCCTAGCATATATAGGATGTGGCCCAATAGTTTACCTAGGATGTTTCATAAAAATGTGGCCATACAAAAATATATATCATAATATAGAACACCCGCATCTTGCTTAGCGATAATTCCCGTAAACGAGCTTACATGTGTGTTGTGTGAATTTGAATTTTAATACCACGCTGCCATTTTATCTAAATAAAAAGTATTTAAAAAAAATATGCTGCCTTTGTTATAAAAAATTCATCAGAAAGATTGCCTGAATAATTATTTCAGGAAGTGGACGATTTTAAATCTATTTTGCTATGTATCAACAGTCTATGTCATAGTAACAAAAGCTCATTAGGTATGCTAAAAGGCTATATACTGAATATGGTATGCCAGGGTTTTGAAATCTGTGAGGTTTTAGGAAAACGGTACATTTGCAAAGAGTAGACTAGACTAGTGTTAAAGTCTCATGTAATTATTATTATTAGTATAATAAATTGTTAATAAACAATACTAATCAAAAATCGTCATAAAATATTAAGCAAGTTATCATTTGTATTTTGTTATTATTAAAAGCAATTCCAAATTGTAACTATCCACTTTGTGTCTACCAATTTTTACGTTTTCATAGTTTGCTATTTTTATTTTAGTTTCTCATTTAATTAACATGAGAAAAATTATTTTTTCAATAAAATTAATTTTACGTACTATGTTTGCTATTTTTTACAAAAAAAAAGCAATTTATATCGTTAAAGTTGAGTCTTTAAGCTTTCCAAAACCGTATAACAAAGTATGATCATCATTAAAAGAAGATTAATTACAGCCATTTAAAAATTACTAAATTTTGAACTTTTCAGAAATAGCTTGTAATATTTTTTTGTCTACATAATTTCTCAAAATTTTTATCGTAATTAATAGTCAGTATTTTATTTCTATGGATTTCAAATTTTGAAATGGTTGTCAGTACGTAGTGTAGGTGGCAGCACTAAATATATTAGATCATACGGTACAGTTGTCAAATTATCAGTGTCAATTATTAAGTACAATTATTTTTCTACAAGAATACAGATTCTAACCTCACAATTCATTCGAGCCTCTGTCGAAACTTCTAAGTTTGCAGAAATTAAAAAAATACTATGTCGTTTTGACGTTTTCCATTCTTCATTTAAATATTTAGACTGAGCTTCTGTTAGAGAATGTGCTCAGTTATTATTAGATATAAAAAATAAATTCTCAAGGCGATTTTTAAATGTATGCTCATTAATTTTTTGTTTCTGACTTTTTTTTTTTCAAAAGTTCCCACTATAAACTTTCATGATTTTAGTAATAGCGTTATATGGTTGTCAGACGGGAATACCAGTAGGTTTCTTAACATCATGAATCACTTGTAGAAAAATAATTATAAAACTTTTCTTATACTCGGCAATTTTCGTTTACCTAATTTTCTACATGAAAAAGCAACCAAATAAATTTTGGTTTCAGCCATTTTCTATTCAGGGTTAGTTAGTGTAAAAATTTTGAGAAATCATATAGACAAAAAATTATTAGAAGCTATTTCTGAAAAGTTCAAAATTTAGTAATTTTTAAATCGCTGTAACTAATCTTCTGTTAATGATAATCATATTCTGTTATACGGTTTTGGAAACTTTAAAGACTCAACTTTAACGATATAAATTGCTTTTTTTTTGTAAAAAATATCAAACATAGTACGTAAAATTAATTTTATTGGAAAAATAATTTTTCTCATGTTAATTAAATGAGAAACTAAAATAAAAATAGCAAACCCTTAAAGTTGAGCTACAGCGCTCATCTTTGGTGATAATTTTTTGATATAAAAAAAACATTTGATAGGGTAAAAGCCAAAAAAAATATTTTTTTGAAGCACCCTAGTAGGTACAAACCATATATTCGCTTCTTTTTCCTGTATGTAGTAAAAAAAGGAAGATAAATGTTTCTTGGTATAATAGAAAGTTTTGCCTTATGCTTATCCATTTTAATATATTTCAAAAAAAAATTACTTAAAAAATAACACAGACTTCAGAAGTTTTTATAAGCAATTTTAAAATTTAAAAAACAAAAATTTCCTGTATAAAAAAAATATCTTTTTTTATAACTGCAAAGAATTTTATAACTGTATGTTTGTGTGGCAGTCTATGAATAAAAACTTTTATTCCAAATTTGTGTTTTTATTTTTTATTTAAATGCATTTATTCTAATATCCTTCCTCCCATTCTCGTAGGTCTGTGGTATAAGTAAAAAATTATAGAATTTCTGAAGAACTTTGAACACATTGATAAAGATAATTTTCTCATTTCTCCCGTTTCTCACCAACGAATTCAGGAACATTAGCCATCTTCAAAAACGAAAATTGCCAACCACTGCGGAAAAGTAACTATAATGTTCATCTTAGACACTAAGGTCTACTGGGTCCCCGCCTAAACAACACTCTCGGCAAAATTGATATTCATCATCGCATAGGTACACTACCTTATCTCAGAAACTATAGGGGGTGGAGCCAAAAGTTGAATACAAAAGTTAATTGGGGTATTACCAACCTTCAATTTATTTTAATGTTGTATATACAGGGTGTTTCATTTTTTGTGGGCCAGCATCAACTTTCTTATTTTAAATAGAACACCTGTTATATTACTTCATTTTTGTATTCTATACAAAATTATAGACATATTTTGTGTATAATGTTCTATACCTAAGTCTAACCGTTTTTATCATTTTTAATTTTTTATGTGAAAAATGTTGGCAAGACGTGAAATATGTACTATCTTCATTCGAAAGCACTTGAGTAAGTCTTGTTGTAGACAAAAGACTCGAATAACGGATTTCATAAGAAATTTCAATAGATATTAATTCATACAGGCCAAGAGAAAAATTAGATTAAAAATTAAAATTAAAGAAACTGCCAAAAAACTTTTTTTTTTAATCGAAACTACCTATTTTTATAATCTTGTCATATTTAACATATACGGTTGTATATGCCTCATATTTTTACTTTTTGAAATATTTCCTTTTTCTGTCACAAATAATATGCTGTTATTTAAAAAATATTTCAGGTTGAAACTGCTAACATCTCAAATAATTTGATTTTCAATGTTTTCAATTCTTTTTATTTTTACTTGTAATAACTTCCTATTGTTCCATATTACTATTACATTTATTTATTATAGTATATTTAATTTATCAATGTAATTATAACTTCCTGTTTAGGTTTCCATTTAAACATTTAAGAGATTCAGTGGAGTAGCTTTTGCTAGACTTCGCCTCATCTCTACTGTATATTTATATATAACAATATACAACAATAAAGGCAATTTATTGTTATTTTCATTAACATACGGTCGTAATTATAACTATACGGTACAGTTGTTAACTAAATTTGCTGAATAGATTAACTAAAATATATATTCCTGGAATCAGTGAATAATCAATAATTAATAATTGTAAGTGTATAACTATAATATAATCAATTATAATTATTACAATTTTATCGCAATATAGTAAAGTACAGTAAAGTAATGGGTGTTTTTTTTCGATGTATAGAACTTTAAGTTGGCATTACTGTTCAAGATGGCGACCGATTTAACAGCTGTCAAGTGATTTATTCTCAGTTTGGTTTGGCAATTCATTATAAATAGACTCACGCCTGACAACGCTTGCAAATAGTGCAATTTTATTTCGAAAATAATGGCTATGACGGCGTTTGAACCAAACAAGTGCTAAAAAGTTGGCTCCTGTTGATTAGTGTCATAATTCAAATATTTTTTGACACATTATTGATTTATTTATCTATAAATAAATAAATCATGATTTTTTTTTCTTTATAAATTTAATTTATTCGCTTGCCAAAGAGGAAAAAATTGATACATTAGAAAGTTAGTTATCGAACAATTAAAACCGAACCCTGGCTCTTAGATATTGCATAACAAAATTTCCGTTAAGGAGGCGCTCACAAAAAAATTCTTCACCAGGGTTTACCAACACAGAATATATGGAACTTCGATGAAAGAGCAAAATAAACGTCATCATATTTTCAATGATGATCAGCAACTTAATATTTTGTTGCATTTTGCAGACACCCCTGAAAATTCAACCCGTTACTTGAGTAATGCGTCTTTAGATCTAGATGTCAAAAGAGCAATGCTTTAAACGAACCTTCAAATAAACAACTGGAAGTCCTATAAACTCTGTTCAGTGCCGAAAGTAGAGCAACAGGATTACAATACTAGGTTAGATTTTTTAAACATCTTATGGAGACACAGTTTTCAGAAAATATATTGGCTAATATTATTTGGGCAGATGAGTAGATATTTACAACGTCAACTAAAATTTTTAATAGGAAAAATAAAACTTACTGCATCACCAGGAATAATAAAAAACTTACAAGATCAGACAGACCTTCTGTCAAAGTATGGTGCGCCATTTGGAGGTTCAGAATAACTCCCCTAGATTTTTTTCTATGGGGCACACTTAAAGATTTACTTTACAAACATAAACCGCCAACTGCCGAGGAACATTAACTTCGGATAAGAAAAGGTATCGGATATTTAGATAGTACTGAATCTGTTAAAAAGTTTTTGGCAGTTTTTTTAATTTCATTTTAAATCTTAGTTTTCGCGTACCCTGTATTAATATGTATCGAAGTTTCTTATAAAATCCATTATTCGGGTCCTATGTTTTCAAAAAAACTTACTAAATTTAAACAATAAATGCGTCCGAATGAAGAAAGTGGCAGATGAGTTGCGTCTTGCAAATGTCATTTTTCGCATAAAAAATAAAAAATATCAAAAACTGTGAGACTTAGGTATAGGACATTATACACAAAATATGTCTAGAATTTTATACAGAATTCAAAAATAAAGTAATATGCCAGGGGTTTCATTTAAAATAAGAAAGTTGATACTCGCCTATGATTAAACACCCTGTATATACAAATTTAAAATATATAATATACCTCAATTAACTTTTGTATTGACTTTTCGCCGTATCCCTTATGGTTTCTGAGATAAGGTAGTGCCCCAAGATAAAACGCCCACAATACTACGCCTATGACTTTTTCGAGAAAATGTAAAACTCTGTCTAAATCGCCAATTTCGATTTGGCACTTGAGTACTACGTAAACAGTACGCTTAAAGGAAATTGATGACACTCAAAATAACGAAAATAAACTATAGATAGCGAACAAATTGCGAAGTGTATCTTGCATCTATCACTTAAGTTTGGAATTAAACTGCGTAAATTCGATTCACATACTAAATATACAAATATACAAAATGCCAGTCGGGTGGCAATAGTTTTAACGTGACAAGGAGATCAACAAAAATTTACTAACCACTACAAAGTTGACGTAATCGGTATTCGATATCGTCATATAATCATATAATAATCATAATCATTTAGTGCACTGATAGTCTACAGATTCGGATTACAAAAGTTTTTTAGTCAAACCCTTTCTTATAGGTTTTTAAGTCAGAAAGAAAACAACAACAACCTGAGATCTGATTGGCGGGTTTCCTCCAACTTCTGTCAATGCCAAATCGCATATTAATTTTCCTAAAAAGTGCAACTTGTTACCCTTGCAAAAAAATTAGATGGATCTCGATTTTCTTAAAGGACCCAACATACATTATATATATACATATATATATATATATATATATATATATATATATATATATATATATATATATATATATATATGACTTTGTTAAATTTTTACTTGACAACTGTCAGTAAATTAAAAAAAAAGTCAACTATGATTTTCCCAGATCTGAAGTAATGACAATGTATATAATAGATCAAGTGGAAAAATATACTTTATTGACTTCACAAGGCGAAGTACCCTAATACGGGTATACCAACTCTCTTCAGTGTTTAATTAAACGGTTTGATGCTAGTGTCATTGTTCAATATGAAAAAAAATATTGTATTAGCTTTAGGGTACAACTTTTGTATTTACCATATACTCATAACTTTTGAAACCAATAGGATAATTAACTTTACCCTGTTACCCTGACCACAAACATAACAAAATCTATCATTGATGATGATGCTACTAATCCTCCACTACGTTCGCAAATATGGCAAATATAGTGTAATTCGTGATGAAATGAAAACAATAGAGCGTTCCTAGTGTTACTTTCTTTTCCAGACTCCGAGACTCGCTGCTGACGCGCATCGAGCGGTGATTTAAGTGGGAGGCTATCTCACATAAAACAGTTTCCGAAATCTCCAAATCGGTTAGTTGTCCGGAAACTCTATAGGTGATAAAATGATAGCTACCTACGTCGCGATATTGCTTTTAAACCTTGCCATTCTAAGTCAGCAACAAGATTGTGTTTTATCCAAATACGAAGATGTGAATTCGGTAACCTCTAATTGTACGGATATCGTTGTGGACGACCTTATCGTGCCCGCTGGAAAGACTCTAAGACTAAACCTCCAAGAAGGCACCAGGCTCACCCTAAAGGGCAATATTTCATTCGAGTTTCATTATTGGTCGGGTCCAGTGATTCTGATTGCGGGAAGTTCGCTTACTGTCGTAGGAGACCCAGGTAAATTAAAACACATTTTTGTACAATATATGTTTTATATATAAATTAAAGCAGATGTGCTGATGCATATTCCAAAGTAATGCAAGTTTGGACAAGAAATACATCAAATTAGGTGATATTTTATCATCATTCTTAGCTGTACAAAAAAAAAAGAACTTCTTTAGTATATAATTCATTAACATTGTTTCAGTTTCAGTCAAAATCAAGGTTTAATAGATAAAACTTAATAGATAAAAAATAGGTCTAGCAAAATTTATAGCAAATCCGTGTTAAATTGAATTCTGCATCCTAGTTTCAAAAATATACAGAGTGTCTCACTTCAAAATTGAAGTTTTTTATTTCGAAATAATCCAATCGGTTATCAAGTTGTCAAATTAATGCAGAAGCGTTTATCGCCAATTAAAACTGGATAATAATTTTCAATCAAAGGAAGCTGTTGCCTATCGGTGATCGAAAAAGTCATTGTTTTAAAGGAATATGATTGAACATGGTAGTCCTAGTTTTACGATAAAAGAAAATGTTGCAAATTGGAAACGATATTTTTGCAAATATCTCGCGCCCTGTATAAATGACGAAACCTGAAACTCCCTCGATAAGGTTTACGCTACTGTTCAAATAAAATTGTCCCATCTTTAACGGGTTTTCAATTATCGACAATAATTTAGCCACAAAAACGGAAATTTTTAGTATATTTTATATTTTTTGTCCATAAACGGCACACCCTGTATATGATACAATCATTGTTCGAAGTAGAGTTGATAGCCCTGGATTGTCCACTTGTTCTGGTTCAAGATTTTTTTCAAAATAGTAAATGGTTTTCGAGAGAATAAGTTTTTTTTTAACCATGCAGTGCGCCGTAATAATCAATGACGTCATGGCGTCTTGACAGCCCCCGAAATTCCGTGTTAAAGAATTTTGACGATTCGGTGAATGGTTATGTTTTCTCGAAGTCAAAATAACCAAAAAAAAATCAAAAATGTAAAAAAATTATTTGGTGAAATTTGATTGTACCCAATTTCAAATGTCAAATTTGATAGAAGATATCTACAAATTTAAGACACTTAACACATTTCTTATATAGCACGGAATATCGGGAACACCCTTTACAATACAAAAGTTTTAGCCGTCTATCCGGGCTTTATCATCACGTAAAAGAAACTAACATCAGAACACAGTCTTTTAGTTATAGCCAATTTTTATTATTAGGGGTATCCATTTTTCAGGAACCAAACCTTGTGCGTATTCTCGTTCAAGAATTTTTTCAGTTGCATAAACGGTTTTTGAGAAATGATTTTTTGTTAGACCATTGCAAACGCGATTTTTTATTTTTTTTAAATAATTCCCTACCCCTCAACTCCCCCAATTTCAACAGATTCGTTAGGGGACCGAACGCTATTCGCCTGCCAAATTTCAAGTCGATAGCTTCAACCTTCGGACACTTATCGTCTTTCATAGCAACCTCCAAAAAACAGTCGAAAATCGAAAAAAAAAACATGGACGCCGTAGCTACTTATGCATATCTCATGCACCCCGTGGACTTTAAAAAAAGGAGGAAAATTTGAAGCGTGTAGCTCAAACCGTTCCGAAGTTATAGTCGAAAAACCCTGGAACAGAGAACGGACATACAAAAAAAATTTTTTTTTTCGACGCTAATCATTTCTGTACAAATGAGGATGCCGTAGGACCTAAAGTTACCGAGATTTCGAGTTTAGTGAGGGCGTTGAAGGGCGTGAATTGTGTCTTCAAAAAGCAAAACCCTAACCTGATTTCACTTTAAATTGTTAATTAAAAATGTCACGACAGGAAAATATTACTAGTGCGAGTCAAACTCTCATAGAAGGCTCGTCGACGGGTATTAAGAAGGAAAGGAAAAGTTGTAGGAGGCGAAAAAGACATTTGACTCCTCTCAAACGGGATTGTAGGATTTGTAGAAATGGTTTGGAATGGTGGGACTGAAACAGAAGTAGAAAAAAAAACAATTGATAAAAAATGATAAAGAATGGACTGCCTATACAGAATTTATCCTTTACTAAAAATACAAAGATCGCTTTGACTTAAATCCAATAGAAATTTCAAGCGAAATATCATATTTGGCAATTGTGTGGACCTCACATCAATGATCGAATTTTCCTACTTCTTACTCTATAATGCACAGAAAATGTAATAATAATGTTGTCCTACAAAACTGTTCAACACGTTGATAAGTTTTCTGTTTTCTTAGCACAATGGAATTTCGGTACTGCAATAGATCTTCATCGAATTTTTTGCGATGCAATATAATAAGTGTGATGTGAAGTACCACTCTACGCTATCATTAATGTGGAAAATTATATTTCATTTCCTGGCGATATTTTGGAATTTTCGGGTATCTGATGCAATAATAGACGTTCGGGACAAAAACGTATTTCCCTATAATATATCTTTGACTGAAGCAGACCAATTCAAACTCTTATCGCTGCCACTGATTGAAATGTTGACTGCTTTTGATACGACTAGCTTGATATTTGACTATACCGCAAGCATAGGCTCCACCACAATCACAATTACGTAGTTTTATGTAATGACAACGACGTGGCAGCTGGTGAAACGATTAGAGATAAGATAAGAGTCAGCCCTAACTGGTTAGGTGATGCCCTCCATTCGAGGCAGCAACACAGTTAGCCATAGGTTCCATTAATGTATAGTGCGTACATTCGTAAATTCGTTTTTTGGATTATATATATGTATATTTTTAACTCTGATGGGATATCTTTCCTTTGGTGTCCTCATGAGGCCTGTATCCATGGGCGAAAGCTTGATATTACAATAAATTGAGCTTTGAAAAATTTTATTGACTTTCGATGGACAGCCTTTTATAAATACATTACCAGTGTACTTCTACCAGCACAATTGGTGTAAAAATATTTACTTGGACATCATCGTGACAATTTAATTAAAGTAGCACGGAATAATAGAAACAATAAGGTGTACAGATAGGAAATAACAATAACAATAACAAAGCCTACTTGAAATACTAAAAACACCGCAAAAGCGGTTCTGTCGAAAAGAATTCAAATATGCCAGAAAAAGCGAAAAACAGTGGCAAAATTAGAATGGATTATGAATAACACATTAACAGAAGAAAAAATTATTAGATTAAATAGTATTTAAATTTAGCAGCACGCTATAGACTGATAATATCAAAAAATTCTCGCAATTTGTGTTTCGCCGTAAGGTCAAGAAGATTACTTAGTCCTTCAACATCTTTCTTTTGGTTGGGACTATTCCTACAGGTTAATATAAAACATCTCTAAAAACTGGCGTTTAGAGAGGATTTTCTCATTACTAAGCACTGCGGCCTGATCATTCAAAACTGTATGGCCGGTGTAGTAAACATGCACAAACCACAAAACTTTAGTTTTACTCATAACCGAGATATTCAATGACAACGAATTTTGGAAACACTGTCCAAAGAATAAGCGATACTAAAGACTAGAAGAAATGCGACAATGAAAAGAGGAGACCTATACTATATATATTATTGTAAGATACGAATAGTGTGCAGCGAGTAAGGCAACTCAGTGTCCCTTCGAAATAATTGCACTCGACTTAACGAGCCCTGAGACACAAACACTAGATATTTTTTCTGATAGACTATTTCAAAGAAAGTTCGGTGTACCAGTGGAACTATAATTTGAGTCCAACCTTTTTCAAGAAGTGATACTGTGACATAGTCTCCGAGTGTTGTAGAGTTGTTCTACACCTTTTCCTATTCGCAGACCAAGATACAAGAGTCGGGAAGGTGCTCCAATTGTCAAATGAAGACCTTTTATCCAGTTACTACACCGAGTTCTCACACCTTATAGAAATAGCTAAGTTGGATTGAAAAGTTGTTAGAAATCGTCTTCAGCTACACTGGAATCATACATTTTTGTATTAATTGAACTGAGGTGGCTTTTACTTGAACAGATTTTCACGAAATTATATATTTTTACATGGCAATTGTTTCGACAACACCGTGTCTTTATCAAATGTAATATTTGCAAACTACCTGCTACTATATATACCGAGAATGGCAATAAAACCTTAATTAATGTTGTTGTGAGAATTTAAGTTCAATAAAGGAGAGGGATTTAAATCTAATTGATCGTTAAGCAATACATTTGAATGTATCATTTTGTTAATCTCCATAGCTTCCATGGCTTGAATTTATTGGACAGATTTACATCTCTAAGGAGGATTTGATTGTGGGAAACCTACTTAGTCCTTTGTTAGTTAGCCGAGATTTTTATGGATAATTTGGAAAATATCATACTAGAACATCCTTTAAGTAAAAGTTTTCTATGTGGGCATAGATACGTTGATGATGTCTTTACTTGCTTTGTTGGAACGGACAGACAATTGAATCTTTTTTTAAATTAAATTAACTCATTACATAATCGTATAAAATTCACTATCCACTGATTGAAATGTTGACTGCTTTTGATACGACTAGCATATTTGACTATACCGCAAGCATAGCCTCCACCACAATCACAATTACGCAGTTAGCAGTTAGCCATAGGTGCGTACATTCGTAAATTCGTTGGTTGGATTATATATACGTATATTTTTAACTCTGATGGGATGCCTTTCCTTTGGTGTCCTGATGAGGCCTGTATCCATGGGCGAAAGCTTGATATTACAATAAACTGAACAGGATAACTCTATTAATTTTTTAGACTTAACTATTACGAAAACGCAAAACAAATTAGATTTTTGCATTTATCATAAACCTTCACACACTTACACATTCATACATAACAGCTCAAATCACCCTTATACCCACAAAATGGCTGTATTTCACTCGTTTATGCACAGATTTCTTAATACGCCACTGTCAACAGAAAATTACAACAAAGAACTTAATATCATTAAATAACGGCTACAATCTATCCATTATAGATAAAATTATAAATAAAAAACAAATACAGACAACAGTAAACTCTATTTATCCTAAACCAAATACAGAACACGAACAATTTAAAACAATTACACACATAGGAGAACCTAGTGAAAAAGTTTCAAAACATTTGTCAAAATGTGGTTTAAAAATAGCTTTCAGAACTAAGAACACAATAGGAAAACATTTAAAAAACAATAAAACGAAATGTCCAAAATCTCAAACATCAGGTGTCTACCGGTTGAAATGCGGATCTTGTATTAAAATTTATATTGATGCGATATTTCTTAAAAAATAATTAATTTATCAGACCATTCATTCAAAATTTCCAAAATTTACTGATTAATGGTTAATTTTCGGCCCTTCTGGAAACTACCCCTAATTTTTTTTATTTTTGAAAATTTTGGATTCAATTTAAAACATTACCAGGGCATTTTTTATAGGCCCATGCAGCGGCGTCTCATGAATGAATACAACTTTCTATATGATATGGCAATCATAATTGCCTGCGTGCCGAGCTCTTTGTTTGTTTGTATCTGTGATGAAAAAAGGCGGAAATATAGGGCAATTTTTGTTTATGTATTAGTAGGCCGTGCATATAGCTGTCGATGTTAGTTAAGGAAATTGAATTGACATATTGAATTTTGTTTTCTGTCACATATAATTCTATATGATATGATAAAGTCAAACGAAAACTTAGAGGCAGCGAATGAATTTTATTTCAATACATAAAAAAAGCCGCACCAACCAGGCAAGCGAATATTCCTAAAGTTAAAAATAGTTTAACCAGTACAAAAGCTTCAAGCTGCGAGATCGTGTGATCCAAGCCCTCTAGATTTTTTATGGGGGAGATTAAAAAATCTATATTTACAGAAAGAATTTTCCAAACCAAGCCAAAGTTAGAGGAAGTCACTTCCAGCCCAAGCCAGACATTTGCGTCCACCAATCTCATACGAAAAATGTTCGTTCAGTCCGCCCAATCTGAGCATTCAAGTTATCATAACTAAATAAAATTTATGTAAATTAAATTTTAATACTTTTTATTCTAATATTTATACTGATTTGCTTATTAGATTAAAATAACTATAATTATGTTTTCTACGCAATCAAAATATTAACATTTAATATTAAAATTAATACCAAAAATGAAAAATGGTTCTTAGGATTCGTGTTTTTCAATAAACTTACATTTTAAATTGGCCTTATCTTTTTTAGTCCCAGCGTCTATTAAATTATTTTAAAGCATTCTATGTGACGTCTTTTTGAACATATTGTGCACGGCCTACTAAGTCATATTTCCCCCCTTTTCCAAAATTTTCATAAATAAAAAATTTATATACAATTTTGAAACTGTCCGAAAACTGATTGGTAGCACTTCACCCTGTACATATACTATGAATTATTAATAATTATACATTTAAATAACCAAGATTTCTTGGATATTATGAGTATTGGATATTTCAATGATTTTATTTCATAGGTTCGGTATTAGATGGACAAGGAGAACGCTACTGGGATGGCCAAGGTTCCTGGGGAAATTATACGAAACCGAAACTAATGCGCATCGAAGCGCAAAACAGTGTTTTTGCACAATTATCTCTGTTAAACTGCCCCATGGCCTGCACTGCCATCAAGAGTTCAAACAACGTCACTATTACGAACTGGAATGTAGATCTCGCCATAGGTGACGAGGTGTGTTTATCAGCATAGGAAGGGGGAGCTTTGTTTACTTATGTACTATTTTTTTAAACGAGTTTCACAACCGGCTTAATTTTAAAAGACAAAACTTCAGGAATTTCTATTATCTATAAGCTATACAGTCCTAAAAAGCTCTTGCAAAACTTTTTCGATGACTTCGTTTGAGTGGAAGCTATACCAAAAATTTCGATATTTTACTAGTTCCATAACGTGCTCAATAATATGTTTTCAAAAGTTTTTGAATATCCTTTCTATTTTTGGTTAGTTGGTTGTTTCAGTTGTAATTTTACAAGCAACTCATGGTCGGCCAGGGACTGATTAAGTGGAGAGAGTTGGTTTGGGTATCTTTAATGACGTTGAAAAATTATGATAATCTGCATTTTGGAGTTAGCAAATGAAAGTGGTTAATGTTTATATTAATAATTCTATTTCCTCTACTTTGCTGTAGGGTAGCGCAGTTTTTTTGGAATATCAACGAATACCATTTCATTTAGAAATCAATTTAGATTTTACATTATCGCTTATTTGTTGTTTTGTGTGAAAATTCCCTATAATATCCATAATCCATAATTATCAGTTGGAAAAATTCGACCCATTGTTAACAAAAAAACCAAAGAATATAGTCCTGCTAGAAATAAACGAGAAAGAATTTGTTTGAAAACGTGGCAAAGGGTTCAAATTTTGCGACTAGGAATTTTTAAGCTATATGACAACTTTACTTATAGTTAGGATCTACTGAGCAATCACATTTAGATGCAAATGCAAGATTGCCCTTATTAATCTGTCGATCCTATTGGTTTTTTTGATTTTTAGGGGATTGCACCAAAAGATAAGTTTGGCCACAACACCGATGGATTTCAAATTTCCGGCTCGTCCAACATTACTATCCAGAATTCCACCATCTATAACCAGGACGATTGCATAGTGGTGAATTCAGGTAACAGTCAAACCAAATATATTTCTTTAATTTTTCAAAGAAAGTTCCCCTTGTTGCTGTAATACTATTTACAAAATTTCTGGATTTCTCCTGTTTTTGTTGTTGATGAATCTAACTTGACGACGTTTCGCCAATCATCCTGTCGGCTTCTTCAGAGCTTGATTGAAACTGGCTCGCATTTTACTCTCTACCTGCTTATTTATTGTTTGAGGTGGGCGGAGCTAAAGGAAGGGCATGAACATTGTCTGGGATGACTCACTCCCACATTGGTGACACGTAAAAAGCTGAGTCCCGATTTAGGTTGTTTTTTACTATAGATTCTTGGATTTTCCGTTGTTCGGGTTGAGATAGTTTAACCGTTCTCTAAGAAAGAGAGTTGATAACCAATGATTTTTGGGCCGGATGGTGATATGACAATACATTAAGGTATCGATCTGCGTGAGTAAAGAGAATAACCCAAAGTTTAATTTTCTGTTAATGAGAATATCTAAGAATGGGTGATTATTATTAGATTCTAATTCAAAAACGTCAAATCTTTTAAATTAGAAAAAAATACATAAGTTAGTTTTTTTCCAAAGCATACTAGCATTGAGGAAATAAGCGTTTCCGTGAATACAAAACTAAAACTTTTATCTCTGTTCATAGGTTAGAAAAAGTATACATAAAAAATCACCTTTCAAAATTTTCAGTCTTCATTGAATCATAGTAGTCTGTAGTAGACTGGCTCCATATAGCCATTTTTATAGCCAATATGTAAAATTATTTAGGGAACTCCATCGCGATATTTTTTCCGAACTGTTTACAAAATATCCAAGTCTCGTCCAAAAGTACTGAATTTACTGAAAAGGCATCATTCTCGTTTTTCATGTATTCAATCAAAAATGTCAGTCAATGCAACAAAATTTCGACCATTTTCAACTATTTTGAAACAACTTAATTATCCGCTACTTTTGAAAATTTTGACCTTGAAGCTGCTTTTGACACGAATTTCAAAATTGACATACAAAATTCTCGTGTCAATTTACGACATCCAGTACTGAACTACATAAAGATATCATGCTAAGACGTAACTGCATGATTGATCTGACTTGACTGCATTATACTGCTTTTAGTTTGACAAGTTCGTCAGTTTGACAGATGAGACACTCCTCTCAGTTCCAGCTGGAGTGTCACTATCGAATCGTACCGACTCACGGAATTCCCAAAAACGCACATCTTCCAATAAAAGTAATTGAAAAGAAAGTTAATTAAATTTGAACTGACGTGGCTTTTACTTGATGAAAATCCATTTAACAAAATAGATAAGAACTAAGAGTTCAGATTTTCACTAAGGTAAGATTTTCATTAAGGAAAGACCGGGTCAAGCTGTAAGAATGAAATATGCCTGAACAGGTCCGTACTTTGCTTAGAATTTAATAATTTAGGGTTTTGTTAGTTTGTTGTTGTTTAAATCTAAAATAAAATTACAAATTATTTTTATTACTTACTTAAATTACTTCAAAATATTCACATAATATATCAGTATCACTATCGCTATCATAGCCTGTTCTAATTATTATTTGTTCTATATTATTTGCAATATGGATATACGATTGTTTAACAGGATTTGCCCAACTTTGTGGAGGGATCTTAAAAACGTCGATTTCTATAAGTTTGAGGACATTGGGAAAACACGGGGAAAACATTGTTAGGACGAATGGCAGATTTCAGTTGGTGCCAAACATGTTCAATTGGATTAAGTTTGCACTGGTTGCTTTTTGGTATAATCTTCGTGAAAATAAATGTCGTTATTATAAATCTAGTTTTGGATTGTTGCTTTTGTGTCACATGAGAAGGGATTTTAGTCAACTGTCTACTGTGATAACTTGCATTGTCCATTACAATTACGATATTAGGGGGAATGTTTGGAACTAGTTTGTTTTTAAACCAACTTTCAAATAAATCAGCGGTGGTGTCTTCATGGTAGTCCAGAGAAGAATCTTTACTATTTTTCGCAGACGGAGAAAGTCTATTTGGAATCCAACCATCTTTAAAGCCAGCATGCAAAATAGTTATTCTTTTACCTCTTTTTGATGACGCGTTTGTTTTACACTTATCAGTTGAGGCAACCCAACCCTTTTCTGGGGTATCATAAGTGTCGAACCAGGTTTCATCCAAGTAAATAATTGGCCTTTATTGTTCTCTGTAAATCCTAATTGTTTCTAGATGTTCCAGTAGCCATTTCCGAATTCTAAAAGATTCGATTAAGACTTGCCTTTTGTCAATTTTTTTAAATCGTACAAGCGGTTAATTTTACGGCGTATTATATCTTGATCACTTTCATCTACACTCGAGAAAATGTCAGCATCGCTTCTTTTTTTCCTCGCTGAAATGGGATTGATGTTGGAATTTTCGTCAATGTGGCCGTTTCTTCTTGTTTGCTGGCACCACGTTCAATAAGAGTCAAATAAACATTGTTTATAACTTCCTTAGCCTCTATAGAATAGTGTTTTCTACATTTGGGCGGGAGCATCTCCTGAGATACACTAGACTCGCACATATTTTGCTGTATTACACACGAAATAAGAATAATTACTAATAAACTTAAACTATGTAGTATATCAAACCAAAGAATATTTAATCAGGTTGGTATAAAATTATTTTCAATTACGGATCACAACTTTACCTGAAATTAAGTTCCGAAACTATAGGTAATAATCTTGTTGCATTGTATGTTAATGACAACCCTTGGATAATCCCATTCAAAAGCAATTGGTCACTTTCTTATATCTATGAACAGACTATACCGCCACACTAGAGGGCGTTTAGGAACATCGCTACAAATAAAATTTATTTTATTAAAGAAAATGAAATGCACATTCAGTTTTATTGCAAAAATAAGGGCCCTAATGCGCCAATGAAAATCGCGTTTTGATATCTGCTGCTTCCCTGGTGGGATCGTTAACAACTCTTAGAAGAACTAGGACTATATTGAACAGCAGTTTCAGTCATCAATTACCTTTTTTACTTTTTTGAAAACTTTGAAATAACAAAACTAGAAAACAATTAATTTCAGAGTACGGCTATTGAGTTGTTAGATCGTGTCACCTGGACTGCTTTGAGCTCTTCATAATTGCTATTTTTGTGTTTCAGGGTCTAATATCCTATTACAGAATTTATTTTGCCACGGGAGTCACGGTCTGAGCCTATCGCTAGGCTTCGCCAACAACAGTTTTGCCGAAAACTCAGTCGACAATGTGATCGTTAGGAACGCCACTCTCGTCAATGGCGAGAACGCGATTCACATCAAAACCCATACCGATGCCGGAAATGGACTTATAAGTAACGTGATTTATGAGGATATTAAATTTGCAGGTATTCATTCCGCCATTCATTGCTGACCTAAATATTATATAATATTTGGTGATAAAGGAGTATTAATTTTTTCAAGTTCATTTCCCTTCCGAATGGTAGAAGTAATTATTTTTTACACTTTTTATTTGAAATTTTTATTAAATTATCTTACTTCGAACATAGCAGTTAAAAAAATTTATAATTAAGAGAAAACCCTGTTCAATTATATTTCACCTATCAGTTAATAATATTAAACCATATTTTTATATTGCGATCTATATATGAGTAGAACTTTTATACGATTGTTTAAAGATTATCTTTCCTGAAAGCTATTCCTCTTTTACTTTCATAATTAATAAAAACATGTGGCAAAGCAAACTAACTGAACAAAACGACTTCAAACTGCGCTTTTAATTGGATTATCTTCTTAGAAATAAAAAGCATAGAAAGCTCAAAAAATTCGATTCATACGGTATAAGAGGTAATGTGCTAAAATCATACTTATTGGGAAGGAAACAATGAGTAAAACTAACCCAAAATGGTGGTAGTTACCTTTCGGTTATTAAAGAAAATAGTCTAGGCATAAATTGGTTAAGGCTTTCGCGGCCCGTTGATAAGCTATTATCTTCATTCGGGTTTAAAGGCCGTCGTCGATTGGAATTATTTCCTAACGTTTCGCTAGCACGAGTGGCGAGCTTCTTCAGAGGTCCTTCCATCTCCGATGTTGGACGTAGACTGACGATTTCTCCTGCGCAGGTTGTATTTATGCCGATTGGTGGAGGGCGGGGCTTGTTCCTCTTCGGTTGGTCTCGTACTGCTCGGGCGTTCCTAAGGATCGGGTTCCAGATTTGGTTGAGTCTAAGGGTCTCCTCCTTTCGGTTGAAATTGTGTGGGTGTTTTTGAATCTCAATGGCTTCCCTGACTAGTCTGTTGTGATAGCCGTTGACCGATGCTAGTAACTTACAGCTCTCCAAGTGTATCCTGTGTTCCCCGCTGCCGTAATTCCAATCGACGACGGCCTTTAAACGCGAATGAAGATAATAGCTTAGTCTAGGCATAGCACAATTTTATTTATCTTTTTTCGGATGACACCAAACTGCTTGTAGGTGAAACTAATCTTACCGAGGTTGGTAATAAAAAAATATATGCGAAATAGCACTACTCATAAGGATAGGTTAACAAAATATTAAAATTGTGAAGAGCACTAAATTCCTAGGTTTACAAATTAACGAGTTTCTTGTTTCGTCTAAACGTATTGATTATTTGATAAATAAATTAAATTTAGTTTGTTATGGAATTAGAATTGCTGCAAAACTGTATGAATATAAAAACTAAAAATTAACTATTTTGCAATCTTTCAGTCACGCATGTGGCATAGAATTATATTTTTTGGTTAGTTATTAACTGCAAAGTACTTTTGTGGTTCAAAAAAGGACTCTTCGTACCTTGAAAACCATGCCATTTAGGGAGAAGCATTTTAAAAATAGAAAGGACTTCGTAATACCAGAACCTTAAACGTAAATTGCCCAATTCACCGTTTAACCTTAACCGGAGGCTTGTTAGTTTCGAAAATCGGCGAAATCGAGTTTTCGAAAGTATCTGCGCTCGTATAAAAATTTCATATCTCGGTGACGGGACGGGATCGCCGTTGGTACAGAAATGATCACCGTCGAAAAAAAATTTTTTTTTGTCTATTTGTCAGTTCTCCGTTCTCGTCTTTTGGTTTTTCCTGAATAACTTTCGAATCATTGGAGCTGCAAAACAGAAATTTGCGAAACATTAACATCTGGGATCATAATACATAGTGACAATGTTTTCAGTCATCCAATCCAGAATTTTCAAAATTCCATGATGCACCCAATTTATTGCAGAAAGTCATCTTCAGGGTTCTAGTAGTTGTATAATCCAAGCTACTTATTTTTAGGGCAGACATTATACGGCATCAACGTTCAGCAAAACTACGTAAATACTCCTGCCAACGAAACGGTCAAGCCCGCACCAGTGGGCAACATTCCAATAGTCAACTTAACCCTCAGCAATATTGCAGGAAACGTTCCTGCGGAAGCAGTGCCGGTTTACATTTCTTGCGCAGAAGGTGCGTGTCAGAATTGGAACTGGGACAATGTCAATGTCACCGGAATCGAATCCAACGATTGCAATTTTGAACCGGTTGGTTACAAGTGCTAGAAACTGTTTTTTTTATTAATTAAAAATAATTGTTTACTGTAAAATAAAAATTACGTTTGCTGGTAAAACCGCAGAAATTATTGCCTTCACTCGAAACCCTTTTTATTATCCAATAACATGAAAACAAATAATGGGCTTAGGATTTATCAGCTAATACATACAGCCGAATAAGGAGATCGCCGAGGATATCATCTTTTGTCCCCTGAACAATCTATGCGGTTATAGTTACCGATTAATAGATGGCGCCTCGCCGGCGGGTAAATTAATTTAAAAAAAATCTTTTGCGATACCGCGTGGATACCGTTGTATGCTACAAATACGTCTTTGGTCGCATTCAATGTGCAATGTGCAACATACTTCAGTATATCGAAATGCTGAATTTTCTGTAACTTCTTTGTATCACACCTTTTTTCGGTGTTTGTGTTGAAAACTTCTATGTAGATCATCACAATGGTCGCATTCAGCGGACGTAGCAAAGCGCTCCCGATACGTTTGAGAGCGTGTTGGACATTTGAATTTACATAGCCGTGTCAGAAACGTCCGGGGGCACATGCGCTACAAATCCAACGTACTGTGGGGTGGACGCTATTTTTAGTAGGAGGAACTGTAATGGTAGAATTTGGTTTTGAAAGTAGTGAATTTGATCATGGTGAGTACGAGGTTTTCAAAGATCGTATCTAGGTATGTCTTCTCAAACAAACGGTAGGGAATTTTTTTAACGCAAATTACATTCACATGAAATAGAGATGCAATCCAAAGTTATTTGCATAATTTATTTTACTAAACCGAAGAAATATTAGACAGGAAATGGAGTAAGATCTACACAGTATAGGAAAAACTGGAAGGGGTAGAATTTACTATGAATATTATCCCCAGGTTGATGAAATACATATCGAGGACAAAACAGTTAACCTCTCTAACCTAATCCCTCGACTGCGGTTCCTGTTATAATGAAAAAACCCCTTGAAGCTATCCCAGTGACTTCTCAGATGGAAACGACTAGAGTTAGAGCTACACCTGTATCCCCCATAGGTTAAGTTTCAACAATTCTTTATTGGTATAATTAAAAAAATTAAAAATGCTTCCATTTTAGAAGTACCAAGACTAGGGAGTCAAAAGAGTGAAATGTTTTATTTACGAAGAAGACTGACAAATATCGAGGAGGCTCGAGTATAAGAAATTAACGAAACGCCATTGAAAGAAGCAAGAAAATCTAGGAGGAAAGAAATAAAATTTTGATCTTATGTGAATTACAAAAAAAAAGAGCAATAGTTCGAAAACATATTTTTATTTGTTATAAAAGCATATTTGCTCTTTAGTTCCTCTCCTCATTTCCATTTGCAATATCTTCTTCCAATTGTATTAGATCCTCTTCTAGCACCTTTTCTAAACATATCAAATATTTCGCTGCTCTGAAACTTGCTAGATGTGGTAAATTATAAAATAGACCTCTTTTAGTAGGTTCGGCGATGTAGGCCTCGAAAATACTCTAAGAATAAGTTCTCATAACTCCGCACAGTCTTCGTATACTTCTGATATTTTGGTATTTTTTGATATCCTGAAATATTCGAATTAGCTCTGCTAACTCCAAAGCCATTCGACCAAATTATCCTCCGTCATTTCATTTTGAATTAAAATGTCCATACGTCCGTTTGTACTAATTTTGATGCAGTAGATACTACAAAGACATTTTCGCTCTATTAACACACGTTAAATCAGCAGCACTACACACTAACACTGAATAAAATCTAAATCTCAAAATCAACAACACTCAAACCAAAAATAAGACACCATAACCTTTACTTACACGTTGGCAATCGCTTCCGCTACGTATAGGGAGCGCTTTGCTACGTCCGCCGAATGCGACCATTTTGTTTTGTCGCATTCTGTCAGAAACATCCAATACAATTTCGATATATCCTTAACACTATATGCAAAATTAAGATTTTTTTATTAAAACATGTATCATTCAACTGGTTTACTTGTGCTATACACTTAAATCTAATTAAAAGTGAAATACTTGAGCCATCTAGCTGTTTAATAATAAGAAAATGTTGTGATGATCTACATAGAAGTTTTAAACACAAGTCCCGAAAAAAAGGTGTGACACAAAGAAAAAATTCAGCATTTCGACATACTTAAGTAAACATATTGCACATTTGTTTATATTCCAATTTTAACAACTCTTATTCCTTATTCAAACGTATTCCTTGTGCAGTTTATTTTACTTAGAATTAGTATCATTTCAGCAATAGGTAGCATAGCCCGTCTGGTGATGAAATCACCGTTAATATTGTGTGTTCACTGATACCGCAGTTTGTCCAATTGCCAATAGATGGCTGACCATAAAAAAATAGTAAACTGTCCCATGAAACAAAGATTACTTTATACCAATGAATTCATTAGTGACTTTTAGTTATAGAAAACTTCTGATTCCCCGATACTTCGATTTGTTTAATTGCCAATAGATGGAGCGGTAGGTGATTCATTAAATAACGTTTACCTGATCTCTTGGTTAGTTACACTGTTCAATTGATTATTTAGTTATATTTATCGCTATAGACTAATCGACTATTTACCAAAATTTTGCCAATTATGACAAAGATTTATAGCTTAATTTTAGCTAAAGTTGAACGACTGTACTTTTTAGATAAGCTATGAAACACTAATTAAACATTTTGGAAAGTGTGGTACCTACAGCATGGTATTAAATGTGACTCAATGTCGGTTGGTCACTACAAAAAATGAAGCACGAATTTGGTCTTAGAGCAAGGTGGATTTCGCCTTCGGCCTTGGGGACATCAGAGACAAAAAAAATGCTCGATTAGGATAGAAGAATGAAGTCTTGTAATATTTTACTACCTCATCTATGTTTGCACTACCGGGACGCCCAAAAAAATATAATAGGGGCGGTCATGTGTGACTAATTGATCTGAGTCCGTGGTATCGGAAAATATTATCAGTGAAGTAGAAGAAATGGAAAATGCACATATACGAGGAGTGTTCAAAAAGTGTGGTGACTTTTAAATGTCATCAAAAAGTATTGAAAATTAATATTGTCCCCTTCAAAGTAATTACCCAGATATAATACACTTGAGCCAACGTTTTTTCCAATCCTCGAAGCACTTCCTGTTAGCCTTGAGTCCTTCCAGCGATTTTTTCTTTATCTCGTCATCGGCGTCTTCTCGGCCATCTTTGAATAGCCTAGAAAATTTTTTTTGCTGGGGAGGGTCTGTCGAAAACCAACACGATGAAGATGGAGGCAGACTAGGATGTTCGGCTCTTTCCCCCATTATACGAGTGGATACTGACATGCGTGTCTGGAAAACATTTTTAAGTGGCAAAATTATCGCAAATAAAAGCGCGCGTGTCATATTCGTATCGTCTAATCGTCCCGAAATTTTCTTGGCGATAAAATGGCGACAATCTACGCGATTATATTGCTACTAAATTTCGTTTTCCTAAGTCACCAACAACAACAGTGCGTCATATCTAAATACGAAGATGTGGATTCCGTGGTCTCCAGCTGCACCGACATCGCCGTGGACGACCTCATCGTACCTGCTGGAAAGGCCCTAACACTAGACCTACAGGAAGGCACCAAGCTTACACTAAGGGGAAACATCTCGTTTGAATTTGATTATTGGGCGGGACCAGTGCTCTTGATTTCTGGAAGCTCCCTGACAGTAGTCGGAGAACCGGGTAAGTGTGCTATAGCATCCTGGCATCGCCAGATATACGATTATTAAGTTTTAAGTACGAGGTTTTTTTCAATACAGACCGGTAATATTTATTTAATATTTCGAATAAGCTTGTCTTTTCTTATTTCACAATAAAGACTCAAAATTGACAATAGAGCCGAATTTATACGAAATAATAAGATGGCCATGAAACAAAAGCACCATTATGTCAAGCTGCTTTGATGTATTTGTTAAATATTCGATTTTTAATTTTAAATTTTTACTTTGTTTTGTTTAATACTGAGTTATAGATTGTCAAAAATCATTTTGTTAATTTTATTTTTAAAGTTATGTGCTTAATTCTCAACAGAATAAGTTGGCATTTTACATACAGCCCTAAATTAGTAAAAGTCATCTAAACAAAATTAAAGTTTTTCAGAAATCTGTCACTAGAGGGCACTTTAAATAGTGTTAGACTTCGAACTTTGACTTCTTTTCAGTTTGAAAATAAATTTTATGCCACCCAACTTGATCATGTTTTATTGTTACGCTTATATTAGTACATCAAAACATGTTCTTGAATTTATAAGACCCTATTATAAAAAATTGAGAAAATGTTAATGGCGCATTTTACTAATAAGAATTTTATATTTTTTTTTTATAATGCATAATTACGTTTTATAAGAGTAGTAAAATTTATAAATAATATTTTTTGTCTATTTGTTGATTCTTGATACAAATAGTTCCATTTTTTGAAAATAAACAAATTTAATAACTTTTGTTTTCATAATTTAATTACTAGGTATGATTTATAAAAAAAATTCAAACAGTAGATTCCATTTCTTTAATTTCCGATTGTTTTTTTTTTCTCTACCATATTTCGCCAATTAATAGCCGTTCACCATTTTTAAAATTGAAACCCGTTTTATTTCTGATATTATGAAATTAAAAATAGAAAATTTGATATAAATTTGCGATTTTTTTTTTAAATTCCAAATAAAAAAATTAAAAAAATTGCTTCTAAGAATCTTTTTCAAATTTAAATTTAGTTAGCTTAAAATAAAAAAGTTGGTACTTGTCTACGACAATACAAGCAGATTGGAAACCCATTTTAGTTTGATATAGAAAATAGAAAATTTAATATAAATTCACCATATTTTTTCAATTCCAAATAAAATGCAAGAAAACTCAGAAGAATATTTTTCATATTCAAAATTAGTTAGCTTAAGATAAAAAAGTTGGTACTTGTCCACAAAAATACACGCAGATTGGAAACCCATTTTTTTTCTGATATTTGGATATAGAAAATAGAAAATTTGATATAAATTCACCCTTTTTTGTTAATTTCCAATAAAACAAAATGGAAAAAAAACTTCAAGAATATTTTTAAAATTTTAAATTTAGTTAGCTTAAAATAAGAAAGTCTTGTCTACGAAAATACAAGCAGATTGTATATATATTAATTTAATATTTTAAAATAATATATATACTATATATATATTATATTTTTTACAAAATCTGAGATAACGTATCACCCCGTATTTTAGACAATGTTTTATTGTGTAAAATCCTAATCTTCGAATTAATCGAAGCAGAAACTAACCAAACCACCACGTTCAACCACAGTATCAGAAATGGTTAGTTTTTATTTTAATTAAGGTAAAACAAGCCATGTGCGAGGTATTATCAAATTTCTTTTTTTATTTGAAAGGCCCGTGTTATTAGGTCATCGGTCCACTATGGTTTACCCCACAAGAAAAAAAAAACTTTGAAAAAAAATTAAGTGCGAGGACGACAACAGGAATGTTGTTAATTGAATGGATAAAAACTTAATTTAATAATAATTTTTTGGAATATATTTATGAATTAACATTAACAACGATGGACTGCTAGAAAGCGACGTCTTTTGTTCGATTGTCATATCATTGATCTGGAGAAAAACGGTATTTATAATTAGTCTATCTTCTTCTTTTTTATTAAAAGGCCTAAAATAAATAGTAATTAATGTAAGTCGTCCATTCATTGCCTTAAGTTTCAGCAGTTTGTAAAAGATGCTGACGTCTCATCCCAAAATGTTGTTTACAAGGAATGTCTACAATTATGTAACTGAAACGCGATCAAAATCTCTTTGGCAAGCAAATTGAAGTACTACTTTAGATTACCCGAAAAATTACATTTCGACAAAAACTTTTTATTAGGTACCTACGTGACGATGGTGTTTTCGAAATTCAGTTAAATCGTTGAAGTACCACTTCAGATTCTCCGAAAAATGATTTTTCGGCCAAAAGAAAGTAGGAAATCTATATTTTTAACAAAAAAGTGATTTTTTTTGTATTTTGTTTTGTTTTCTAAAAAAAAACAATTAAAACAAAACAAAACAATATATATATATATATATATATATATATATATATATATATATATATATATATATATATATATATATATATTGATAATAAATAAGTTGAAAAACGTAATACATAATATATGAAACCAAATAGAAATTAAAAATGAACAAAAAAACTAGAAGATATAGAACACAATCAAAGAAATCTATCTATCAGGAATCATATTACATTCTTTTATCTTTTGGTGATTCTTGATGGTGACCACTATTTTAATTGGGAAGACTAAAATTTATGGAAAAACATTCTATTACATTTTGAAACTTAGGAAATATTTTTTAAATATAACATTATCAAATCAAACAGGAGAAAAAAAAAACACAAAACTATTTTAATATTCAAGTTATAAATCTATTAGTACATACAGAATGTGTAGTTAATTTCAACTCTAAATTATCAATCCAAAAGTACGTTGCCGGCATGTTATTGTCAACATTAAAAATTTTTCTAAATAAAATAAACACGTTCAAGATTAGTTTAAACTAAACATTACATTGTAAATTAACACAACAACCCAAAGCATTGTCACAGATCACAGATTTGTTTGTTTCTTTAAAATATCAACGCAAGTTAACAACAATTTCATTTCTAAGTAAGAATGACATATGAGTGGAGGGGATAACGATTTTTTGACTGATACTTTATGATTATTATATTTAATATTTTGTATATTAATGATACTATGTAAACATAATAAATTGTTACTTTGGACTAATTTTTGGTACGTACATGTTTCAAGAATTGCTCGGCGAAAAAGATTGCTGTGCTGGAATGGTATGGGTAAAGGTCTGGTCGGCAGGGTGTTCTATAAAAGGCTGCGCAAAGTTAATCGCGGGGTCGCTTGTAAAAGCACTATATTCCTGGTCGAAGTATACCAATTAATCTAATTATCGAGAAGTGTAATTTGTGAATTATATTAAATACAAAATTTTACCACTACTACACATTACGAATTCGAATAAACAGAATCTGTTTACGATTGGACTCAATTAATTTTATTCTGTTATTCTAGGTTCCATTTACGATGGGCTGGGAGCACGCTACTGGGACGGCCAAGGTTCATGGGGTACTTTCATAAAACCGAAGATGATGCGTATTGAAGCTCAAGACAGCGTGTTCGCAAATATAGCTCTGCTAAACTGTCCTATCGCATGCACTAGCATATCTAATTCGAATAACATCACAATTACCAACTGGAACGTGGACATCTCCATAGCGGACGAGGTGTGTCTCACAACCGTACAACTGCCAGGGTGTCCCATCACTCTGAGCTACAAACATTTGAAATTTTATTTCAGTCATATCGTGGGACACCCTGTATATAGACCTATAGAATTAATAAAACTACCAGCCGAACTTGACGCCATACATTTTGCCTGCGGCATTTTCCAGTAGTATTTTTTCAAAATGTGCCCAGATGCGTAATTTAATAGAATCATTCCTTTGGCGGCCTGTTTGTTATAGGAATCTGTAAAAAATATCTCATAGGCTTAAAGATACTTGGATAATTTTACAATTTTCATACTTTAAAATGAAAATAAAACAAATCGCCTATCTTCAAAGTGTCACAAAACTGTAAGGATTCAATTAAAATTCAAGTTTTTTATATTTTTTTTCACCTCAGTGTCTTTGTGGAGATCTTCCTGTCAGATATAAATTGCATTACAATCCTCACGAATATTCTCCTGATTGGATCCTTAACTTTTATTATAAATTGTTCTAATGTATTGTTTATTTTAAAAGCTATACATAAATTGGAATCTTAAAAAGCCTGTAGAATAAAGAATTAAAAAAGACAAATTTATGAGAATATAGAGAGTTGGACTAAAATTGTACCATAAAATACAAACGCTCGGTATATAAGTTTCTAAAACATAAATTCTGCTCGTCACTCAATCAGCTCATGTCGTCTTTCGTGAAGTAAAACTGTAGAAAAATATAACGATTTTGATAGAAGGGGGACAATAGTTTGCAATACTGACGTTGACAATCAATTTTAGTAGAATTGACATATAAATGATTCAACAAATAAGCTAAGGGTATCCTTTTAAAATTTATTTATCTCAGATAAAAACACTTTAAATGTCGTTAAATGACTCCGGTTCGAAACGTGCGGAATTTTATGGTGGGGAGCCATTTATGATAATCACTTAAAATATCTAAGAACTCGCCAAATATGGTTCGCTCGTCAGGAACGTTACTCAGGTAGCTTTTACGACGAAAGTTAAATCATTATAAATCACCTGTGGTGCTTCGTAATTCAAAAATGTATCAGAAACCGCAACAATTTTTTAACTAAACTGCAGTCAGGATTTCACAAATGGTGTGAGTACGGCTTTTGAGACTTTCCTTGAGCAGTAGTGTAAAAAGTATTACAGAAGCCTGTGGAAGTTTCTTTGAAAATTTTGTTGCCTGTTTGTCCGTTCTCCGTTTTCGTCGTTTGGTTTTTCCTGAATGACTTTAGAACCTCTGGAGCTACAAAATTGAAATGTGCCTCCTAGTTAACTTTCCACGAGATACGTAAGCTTGTAAGAAATGGCCTCGATCCGACGCCGGCATCCATCTTTTTTTCGCGATTTTCGACTGTTTTTTTAACATTGCTATGAAACACGATAAGTGTCCGAAATTTGAAGCAATCAACTACATATTTGGCACATATATGCAGCTTTGCCCGGTGACGTAAATGGGGGGCTGGCGGGTCGGGTCTACAAAAAAGACCATTTTTCACAAACTGTTTACATTACCGAAAAAATTCTTGAACCAGGAGACCCAGAGAATACGGCTTCATAAACTTTTATTCTTGACATTTTTTCAAAAATATACAGGGCGCCCCGCAAATTTGAAAAAACTGAAAACTGTGTCCCCCTATTATTGAAAATTAGATATAACTGAAAGACTCTGCGTCGGATGTCAGTTAATTTTACATGGCGACATAGCCCTCATCAGCAAAAACTTTTGTATTTAAGTTTCCACCTGTTGTACAGGGTGTTCAAGATATTAAGTGCTATATTCAAAAATTAACAGTTGTCTGAAATTTGCAGCTATCGACTTCAGATTTCGCAGAAGGGTAGAAGTCCACACCCGTATTCCATCTGTTTTAAAAGGACTTACTCCAAGTATTTTTTTAAAGATTTTGAAAATTTTTTTTGTATATTTTGACTTGCAGAAAAAAACTATTTTTTCGAAAACTATTAACCAGATTGACAAAATTTGTGAACCAGGAAATGCGGGAGATTCGGGGTCATAACTTCCATTTCAGGCATTTTTTCCATTATATACAGGGTTGTTCAATTATAGACAAAACAAAACAATTTATTAGCCGTAAATCAAAAAATTCTTGAAAAATATGGCCAATTGGTTTAGACAGTGTTATAGACCCCATCGAGACCTACAATTTTTGTATTTACGGTTTTCGAGATATTTGAAAAAATCCACATGAGAATAACCATTTCTCGCCCTCAATCTAGGACGCGATGACGTCATTTACTATTACCCCGTACTGCATGGTTTCAAAAAACAAGTATTTTCTTGAAAACTACTTACTCAATTGGAAAAATTTCCTATTTCGAATATTGTTGGAATTATATACAGGGCATTGGGGGCAAAAAATTCCAATAGATCATAGAAATTTCCGCTTTTGTGAGTAAATTACTCGTGATAAATGAAAAACTTTTAAAGACGTGATAATTTGATTTGAACAGTATCGCAAGATATTTGAAAAAATATAATTTTAAATCGAAATTACCGGTACAAATTTTAATATTTACCAAAGTGTGCCGTGAATTTGAAGTTCGACGAGATGTGAAGGACATTTTATACAGGGTGTATTCACAAAAAAATTTTGAGACAAGAATCCGCGAAGCGCCTTCTTTTTAAAATATAAAGCTGCTTCGAGCTAAGCGCTACAGCTATGATTTTTCGAAATCAATCTGTTGGACTGCTTAATCAATATCTGAGCAATAGATCGCATTGTATATATATAGGGGACAACATTAATTTTGATAAATAAATAAATACTTTTTTATGTATTATTATTATTAAACTTTTATGTTTACCATTTTCTCTTAACTTCTGAAACCAATGAGATAATAAACTTTTCTCTATCGTTGACGCACCCTGTACAATATGCTGGAAGGGATGTTATATAAATTTATCATTTTAAATAAGGCTGCGAGATACTTATGAACTATCCTGTAGAATAAAAATTCCGATAAAGTTATCCTACATATAAAAATTGCCATTCCAGTATAATGCAAACTTTATAATATATTTTTGACTTCCTTATTGTTAATTTTTAGGACGTAGCACCACCGAATAAGTTTGGCCACAACACCGACGGATTTCAAATTTCCAACTCGTCTTTCGTAACTATACAGAATTCGATCATTTACAATCAGGACGATTGTGTAGTGGTCAATTCAGGTACGAAACCCACATATCAAAATTGGTAGCAGTAACAGAAACAAACCTAATTATACCTAATTTTTATTTATTGGACATTTGACAACAGCTACCGCAAAGTAACTATAATTCTAATTGTAAAGGTTAAGGCATAACTCTACCTGCCACTCTCGGCAACCTTGACACTTATCATCGGTACTAGGAATATGGACAGGCAAATTTTTTCAGAATCTTATTCAGCGACACACATATGGTATCCATGGTTAGTTAGTTAGACTAATGGCCACTAATTTAACTTTTTTTTTTGAGAAAAGAAAAAACGATAAGAGCAGCATAAACCAAATAAACGGTAGCACAAAACAGATGAAGTAATGTAAGTGATTGGTTAAATAAGAACACTATAACAGCTGTAGTATTTAAATCTACTTATACCTAATAAGTTAAATTTTCTATTTTTTAATGCATTAATATTCCAAATTGCCCTTAAAATGTTTATACTGCCAATTACGTACTTATTATTATTTAAAATTTGATTTCATAACATTATGTATTTTGTGTTTCAGGGTCCGACATCCTAGTAGAGAATCTATTTTGCCACGGCAGCCACGGCCTAAGTCTATCGGTGGGCTTTTCCAACGACAGTTTTGTTAAAAATTCGGTAGACAACGTAACGGTAAGAAACTCCACTCTCGTCAACGGCGAAAATGCGATCCACATTAAAACGCATACCAACGCCGGACAGGGACTCATAAGCAACATACTTTACGAGGATATTACGTTTGAAGGTAATTCCTGTGAGGCTTTTCTTAGTGATCGATATTCCATTTCCAAAACTGCATTTGCTAATGACTCGCCAAAGTGTTTGTGTTCCTACTTGAGCATAGGAGTTACCACATCTTTGTTGGAGGAGAGTAAGTGATAAGCCAGAACTCTCCAGGCATAGGTTTCTTAATTTTTTGAGAAAAGGAAGTAATGAAACCAGTGAAAACTTTGAGAAAACTGTGTGAAATCTGGTGTGCCAATTTTTGGTGGTTTGTCCCATCGCATTCTTTGCACTATAGAAGCAGTTTGCAATGCCAGACCACTTTCTGTCCCCGCCAGCGACCCTCTTGATTTTCATGCAAACGCCTGGATATTTCTTCATTGGCAGATTTCCGAAAATCATGCTGGCAAAAATGCTCCCAAATTCAATTATCAATCATCTCCAAAAAAAAAAAAAATGGGCACGCCTCTTAAAAAAGGTCAGCTGGATCTTCCAAAGGAAGATGACACTGATGGAAAAGTTCGAATGATTAAAATTTTTGCCAAAGATGGGTTTGAGTCATCGATAAAATTGCCATTTTTTTAAGTTGGGAACAATGAATCACTATCGTGTGAGATTTAGATTGGTAGAGTTGTATTGCAAGCAGTAAAAATATCAAGTTATCTCTGCAAACTATTCTTAATATTTTTAAGGCTAATGACACAAACATTTTCAAAGTGATTATTTGGTTTGGATTGATTTTGTGTTCTTAAAACTTCAGCATCAAATATTTTGGGGAAAACAAATCGTTTTCTAACGTCAGCGTGTCCGCGTCTCCTGCAAATCCACAAGGATAAGTAATACCATGCACAAATATTACATCACAATCTACCTCAAATCGAAATATTTTTTTTAATGTCATTACAATTTATTTATAAATGACATCCTTCAAACATATTCAAAAATGATCTCAAATTGGGGTTGCCCAGTTTTTCAATTGGTATATTCACTCCAATACCGACCCACAAGAAATTTTTTATCTACATAAATCTATAAAATCCAAAAAAGCGTTAAAAAAAATTCTACCGCGTAGAAAACTTTTGTAAATTTTTCTCTAAAAGTTTGTACTATATACAATCGAACTTCGATAACTCGAATTTTTGATAAGTCGAACGAAATTGGTTGGCAATAGCGTCAAAAGTAGGAAATGCGTGTTAGTGTAGAAACATTTGGTGCCAACTTCGATGAAGTCGAATTTTCTCGGGGAACCCCCCAATTACGACCGATCTTAACCTGTCTTTTTAACGTATCTATGCAAGCAGTTCAGTTTCTGTGTTTGCTAAGTTCACTTGTATGACTTACTAGTAAATACTAAGTGAAAAATACTGTCCCTATTCAATTTGCACATTATATTAAAGACATTTTTGGATTTTTGCATTTGTTAATATGTCATCAAAACGTACATAACTGACTTTTTTCCAGTGAAAGAGTAACCTTTAATATGTACATACATATGTATGTATATGTGCATACATACTGTTTATATATACTGGGTACATATACAATACATTTGTATGTACATATATTATGTAAATATGTACATACATATGTCCTACTATTTCATAATTTTCGTTTTTTGTTCAAAAATCATAGATATTAGGGCATTTATGCAAAAGTACATGAATTTGCAGTTTTTATATCGAAGTTCGACTGTATTAAAAGAAAAGTGAAAATATTGTTTATACTTAATTGATGCCATCCCAATATCCACGACATATAGAAGTTTTAGGTACTTTAACAAACACTCGAAAGAAATAGACGCCGCTCACTTTACAAAACAAGGCACACAACAACGTTTCACATAGACGATATCAAATATACTAGAAATTACCACCCCTTTGAATTATCGGATTCTTGTTTCAACAAAGAACCCTTTGCATTTTCTCCACTCCCTATGGTACTTATTTATTTAAGTGTGCCCTTTAGCTAACAATGATTCTTTAGTAACCACCTCATGAAAGTTATTGCTTTGCTCTCTTTTTTATAAATGAAAGTTATTGCTTTGCCCTTTTTTATAAATTTAAGTCCTTTTTCTTTTTTTTATTTTATTATATGTCTTATTTTATTTTATTCTTTTAGGTCCGATTTTGTTCGGCATCAACGTCCAGCAAAACTACGTAAATACTCCTGCCAACGAAACGGTCAAGCCCGCGCCAGTGGGCAACATTCCAATAGTCAACTTAACGCTCAGCAATATTGCAGGAAGCGTTCCTGCGGAAGCAGTGCCGGTCTACATTTCCTGCGCAGAAGGGGCGTGTCTGAATTGGAGTTGGAGCAACGTGAACGTTACAGGCGCCGAACCCAGCGATTGCAACTTTGATCCAGTTGGTTACAAATGCTAGAAACGCTTTGTTTAGCGGGTTCACGCGATCACTCAGCCGTTTTAATTTTATTTGTTCCGATTTTATTAATTAAAAAAGCGTTAGTTTGACCAAGAATGCAGTTTTATTTGTGAAGTATTTTAGTTTTACCTTATAGGCTCTTTCATTGGTGAGTTTACGGGGGAAAACCGAATATTTTTGGAAATCAAAGTCAAAATTGTCAAACTTGACAATCAATGCTAAGAGAAAAATACGTTACCCAGTGTCCAGCACTGATTTCAAGTGTTCGCTTATGCATCGAGAGTAATGGTCAACTTGAGCAGTTGTTAAAATAATAATTTTTGTTAGTGTTCCGATAACATAAGTTCAATTCCATTTTTTAAGATAAAGGCTTTTGCTTAGAAAACAAAGCGGATAGCTAAAAGAAACGTAATATGGTTTTAAAGGGAATTTACGTCACAAGAGGGCACTCGATACCTTTCGAGGTTATTTAACAAAATTTGTATGTAATGGTAACTTTTGGTCTATAGTAATTAAAAATATTAAAAAATATAGCGTGTTACATGAAAAAAAGCTTTGATATGTACTTTTTTTAGGTATATTTCATTCATTCCTGTTTTCCTCCAAAGAATTCAAAAATACCTTCATATACAAAGTGTTCTATTTAAAATATGAAAGTTTTTACTTTGTACGCGAATACACACACATCCAACAATATAATTTGCAAAATAAAAATGAACCTAAACAGCTTCTTCACAAGTTTTCTTTCATATTTATGCTTTAAACTTGTTTGTGCTATTTATAATTATGCAAAATTAATCATTTTATATATCTAAATACCGATTCGACACCGGTTTGTGATTTCATTCGAGAATACCACCCTAAATCTTTATTTCAAAAAATAAATCCTAGCCATTCAACCCTTATCAAAAATATTACAGCTCAATAGGACAAAAGCATTAACGGATATTGAATTTCCATTCGTTCAAAGTGACGATTGCGTTTATTTACCTGGATGGCAGATACATACATACAGATATATATATATATATATATATATATATATATATATATATATATATATATATATATATATATATATATATATATATATATATATATATATATATATATATATATCGGAATGCAGGTCGACCTTCAGTTAATTTTTTTATTTCTACTACTAAAAAAAATCGACATTCAGGATTAAACTAAATCCGAGTATTGTTTTTGTACTCGTTTGAGTAAGTGGTACTAGCTCAATATAATTTGATGTTTTAATGTAGGCCTCAGAGTTCAAAGAAATTAAAAAAAAAATAACGGTCTTAATAAATCATACATAATGAATTACTTTGCAGGGCGTGATTTTCTGACACGCTTCGTACGACTTTGTTCGCGATCGTTGGTTATTGAGCGTCGTTTTTTCTGCGGATTGTACTTCGCCTCCAGATTCTCTATGAAATTGGCAAACTGCTGGAGCCGCTTCTCCGAGTTCTCCTCTAGCTCTTTTTCAAGTTTTTCAACTAAAAGAGAATATTACGGGGTATATTTAGGCATACGGCTACTCCGCTAATTTTCAAACTAACCAGTTACGTTTCAAAGTAACTAGATACGCCGCCTTTCGTTAATATTACACCCACTTTACAGAAACTACACTTTGGTCTGCAGTTGGGCTTACCTTAATCTCAGTCAGCGCTCAGGCCTACTTTTAACGATTTCTATAGGTGCGTTTAAAGATTTATTTTTTACAGAATTTCTTTTGATTTAAAATAGAGTGTAACAAAAAAAGTGAAAAAAATTTTTCCAAAGTTTTGTAGAAACAAGAAAAAGGAACAACTTTTTCTGATAGCAACTTTGGATATTTTCAAAAATAGTCAATTTTTTATTATTTTTTATTTTAACATATAAAAACAAGTTTTAAAAACCTTGATGATAAATTGATTTGTATAATACAAACTTTAGTGATGACAATGTATATGAATTTCTTATTGAGATCAATATGTAAAACCAAAAAAAATGTATCAAAAATGTTCTCAATTTCTGCCGCTTTGTGCAAAATTCAATTTGGTTGTCAAAATCATTTCCATAAACTTCTTGACCAAATTCTATTTTGTGGGGATAGAATCTTGTTTGGTTAATATACTTTACGGATATATATTTCAAATAGCTAAATCAACTACCTTAAAAGCACCTTGAGCGACACATTTCTTGAATTGTTTTTTTTAATCAGCACTTTCCTTAAACTGACTTCAAAATATCTTCAGTTTAGATAGCAGTTAGAAGTTTGGGTAAATCTTCATTTGAAATAAACAGATCCACAGACAAAACTGATAACGCAAATAAATTATCCATTTCCAAAAAGAGGCAACGAGAAACAAAAAAAATTTTATAAAATAGCCACTTAAAGATTACGATAAATGTTTAGAACCCCTATTTAAAATAGGAAACTTTTTATAATTTTAAAATATAAAAAAGCTAATATATACAGTGGGTCCCATTTAAAAAAGTACAAGCTTGAGACTTGAAATATTCTTAGGATATTTATGGCAGTTTCAATGAGTAATGGCACTTCACATATCCTAGAAGCAAAAGTTTTCAAAAACTTTCTACTTTAGGTACAACATTCTGTGCTGTATATGGTGACTCACCCTGTGTATGAAACAAATCACTATGGAAAACACGGTAAACTAAATAAGGATTTTTTCCTTTGTAAAAGAACATTTTTACAGTTTGAGAAAAAAAAAATTGTATGCAATATCCCTGGGTAATATTTATATTTTATACTCGTTTACTAAATTTTCTGTTTGTATTTCAATGTCATCTATGTTCAACTCAACCAACTGAACTACAAATTACCTCCTAGTTGCTCCTGATTGCTAAGCATAATTGCATCTTTGAATCCCTCAATAAACAACTCACCATCAATTTTTTCAGACTCAATTCTCTCAGCATCCCACTTCTTTCGCCTACGCATCTTTTTCGCCTTACGCTCATTGAAGAAGCCATCATACTCCACAACCTCTCCATTATTAACCATTTCCCTGACAATTTCTATAATCCTAGGCTCGCTGTCGCAGTTGCTAAATGGTACCATTTCCAGGATAACATTCATGTTACCTTTAGAGATTTCGTAGGCCTTACGAATATCTTGCCTCTCTTTCTCCGACCCAATATACTCCTTCTCATAGTTCTCCAGATCTTTACGGTCAATTTTTTTGAATATTGCGGACCAGTATTCCATCCAGTTGAACCCAGAATCGCTATCACCATCAAAATCGCCACAGTTGTCATAAATCTTCCTTTTCTCTTTGTTCTGGAGAGTTGTGTGAATCCGCCCCAACACTTTAAATTTCTCAGTTGCGATTTCTTTTTGAGCTTCACTCACCCTATCAGGGTGCACCAAGAGCGAAAGTTTGTGATACGCCTTTTTAACTAAAATCCAAGCTCTTGAATTCTAACATCAACCATTATAGTTTGATACTAACTTTCTTTTTCCGACGCATCTCTTGATACGCCAAGCACATCGTAAAAATCGGTGGTCCCATAAAAATGCTGACACTTTTCTTTAAAGGTGGACATTATTCCAAAAACAAATAAAATTTCTAAGCGGCGCCAAAATCATAGAAAAATGTCTTACAGAAGCAAACATCAAACACAGAATGAGTGTCCAAGCCGAACGGCCACAACATAAAAATTCCTCTTTACAAATCGCAGGCAGCTCTTTTAGGATAATTCGCACCATTACTAATTAAATGCAAATCGGCCAATTTTTAATCAAAAATAAATAGGTCCAACTGATATAATTGTTTAAAGGGATGAGAATAGGGCTTTTGTGGTGCAAATCAAAATATAAAATTAAAAATGAAGGAATATGAGAAAAAAATCAGATGTCAACGTCATATTTGCCATCCATAGAACATTTTTGGTCTGTGCCAAACTAGACTGACACAGGATTTGCGAGAGTTTATCAATTAATGATATAAACACTAAAAAATAAATTTCAAAAATGTAGAAGATGATGCGTGTAGAAGTTCAATAAGTATCGTATTTGATAAAACTAGACTATGTAACTTATAAAAATGGTTATTCAAAACTGGTAGTGTCATCTAGGACATAGTAGAAGAAACATGCTGGCAGAAATGTACATGTTCCTTTGCGTTTTTCATACTGAATACAGTAATTTGGTATTTTTTCATTCTAGTTTTGGTTAGTTTTCCAGTATTTTGGATAACACTGATTGGCTTGATGTCAGTCTATGATTTTTTGGGGTAGAGAAGTCACTCTAGAAATTTATTTTCTAAAATACCGATTTTTTTTAATGTACGTCGAGAATCTACCAATAGGCACGAGTTCAATACCAGGCAAGTTGATGATCACCCTCTGGATACTTCAGACTGATGTCTTCGCAATCTATAAAAACTAATGTAACATTGTGTCGCCTAATCTTAAAAACTTACCTTTTAGCCAATTGAAAATAAAACTGAAAAACTAGTAATGTGGTAAAGGCGGTTCCTCTCATGGCGGGAAAATTTGAATTCGCGTGAATGTTCGGGTGTGTTCTGGTTGGCGCGGGGAAATTTTAAAAATTTCATGGAGGGATATGTTTAATAAATATCAGTGTGTGTACAGCAACCTTTTAAGTTAAATTCTCGGAGTTTGACCCAATAATATATATTTCATTTCATTTAAACCTACGTTGTTCAAGATATAGGAACTATCATACATAATTTCAACGAATCAACATTTACAATTCTAGGACAATCAGTTTTTAAAACGTTCCGCGGAAAAGTTTCTTTAATCGCGTTTGACATAAATAATATCCACTTCTTCATCAACAATATTCTTCAGAAGTATATGCTGGATATCTCGTTAATTTTTTTCATCGCCATTTCGCAGATAACGATGATGCTTCTCCAAATATTGTATTTGTGTTCTGTAACACTCATTCAAATCGTTGAAACGTTTAGAGGGTTTAAAAAGACAATGACTCAATTCGTTAGCATGCAGCATTGTTAATCCTTTGACAATCATAACTTTGCAAATCTACACAACTTCATCCTAACTCTGTCTGAAGGCAAATTATAACTATAATAAATAATTCTAAATAACCAAAATTAGCCACTTAACATGAAGTTTGTTTCCTTTTTTTCTCAAGATATTTTCAATTAAATATATCCCAAGATGTTTTTCTTTCTGTATTTCAAATTCACGAAGACCACCTGAAATATCTTCACCTTTGAAATCATGTAGCAAATATAATGTTGGATTTGTAAACTTGACTGTCTTGATACTAAAAATTTAATTCGAGCAGATTGAAGTATACTTATTTTGGCAGACTTCAATTTTAGATTTAGATCGCAATTTTCACGTATGTGTAAACATTCTCGAGCAGAGATTTCATTTTTCATTCAACTCTCGATTGAAATCTTGCATTTTGTATGCTCAATAATTATTGTCTCAATGTTTTGTCATATTGGACGTAACATTTGTTGTATGAATGTACCCATAGTAAATAAATTCAATTCAAAGGTCAAACTAGACTTTATAACACCTACAAATTGGTTAGTAAATATCAGATATTGATAAAAATGCGAAAAAAATATGTATTTATTTTCCGATGCGGCTTAAGTAGAAGCGGAAGTCCCCCTCTGTACTTTAAGGAAGCCGTACATAGACAAAATGAAGTGATTCATGTCGCCCCAAATAAAAAGCTAATCCATTCCGACTAGCATTTCCCTCAGTCAGTCGCGTCTAATAATGAATTTTTCGTGGTTTTTCGTATTTTGCGGAGGTATCCTCATCGGCATAGATTACGCCTTATTGGAGGCGATGATGGAGCAAACATGTAACGGGACATTGTGGTGGTTTGGAATAAATAAAACCGGATGTGTGACGGGAAGTACATCTGTGACAAGGTACATACATAAATTGGAAATGCTTCTCTTATACAGTGTGTGTGCAATATAAGGATGGGTACAGGGTCAGTTAAATTAGGAAAGTTTTAAAGCACTTTATGAGAAATTTTTAAGGTGACATATTGCGTATTTTCATGATTAGATAAAGCATGCATTCTCAGAGTCACAAAAGCAAAGTAAGTTTTTATTTACTATGTTTTGACAGTCCCATTGATCGCATATTCTGAACTAGTATCAGTAACATCGTATGTAGCATATTGTTAAGTACACCTGATGTGATGGATTGAAAACCTTCTGAACCTAGGAGTTAGATCTCGCAATCGTGCAGGCGAGGAGACCATTATCCATTTGCCAGGCAATCCTCTTGAAAAAGGTATTCTCGAACAATTCTAGAATTGTGAGAGGGGGCCCTGCCCTATCTTTATGAAACCAAATATCGTTGACATGCGCCAGCAGTAAATTCTGTTCCTACTCTGATGACAACAAAATCCCCATTTATCGCTATTCGTTAAACTGCCAATAAAAACATTTGTTAATCGAAACATTTATTTTGTCAATATTTTATATTACAGCCATACTTGGAACCGGATAAAATTCTTAAAAACTTTTTTAATTTAACCAACCTCGTATCGCCTATCCTTATATTGGACACACTGTATAACTATAACTGTATAACGATTATATGCTTTTTAGAATAATTGTTGCAAAGGTGTTTTCGTTGTTTCCAAATGTTATTTCTAAGGATGTGCTGCACGCACTTGAATATAGTTGCGATTAGTAACTCATAATTTTTATTTCATTATTCATTATTTTATTTTTTGATTTTTTAGAAAATGTCATTATAGATTTCTTCAGGCTTCGCTACACTTATTTAATATCTTAATCTTAATACTTTAAACAATGCGCCTTGCTTATTTTGATCAAGTTTGACGTATTTTAACCAAAACAAACTTACAGAGGGCTGCACCCAGTAACAGATTACAAAAAAGTTACAAACAATAAATACGCACCTAAACCACATATGCATTAGTTAGAACTTTTATCTCTAATTTCCGAAATATAAGTAGAAATTACATTTTATCCAGCATTTTTGTACGAAGATTTACAGATCATACTTAGAAATAAATAGTTATTTTAAAAGTGTCATTTATTTTTCAAAAAAAGAGCGAACATGTGGTGAAAAAAGAAAAATAATTTTTACCGAAAAAAAATGGGAATGTGGAAAAATCTTTGATTTTTAATAAACACCGAGTATATCACAAACAAAGCAATCCTCCAGGGATCATTATCTTATTATGTAACACCCTGTATAACGACCAATATTAGATAAATTAATAACAAATAACAAATGATATAGTTTCAGTTTGCTGACCGCGCGTTTATCCACTACCCCCGTTCCAACTAACATCGAAGTCACCACTAACCTACAAATCCAATCGAACAAAGAAACTAGTTCTGGGTTAGAATTCTTGGATGTTCCCGAGGGCGATGATATGCGAATTCAGGAACTGAAACTAGAAGAGAAATACCCTTTATTTGAATTATTTTCGACATTGGTTAGTTACTTACAACCATCCGAATTTCCATCAGGTTCGTATAGGTTAACCCTTTTGCTAACGAATAGTGTAATGTGGTAGAATTCCTGTGATTCACAGCTTAAATGATGCAGCCGCTATGACAACAACTAACTGGTCTGAATGTTTCTTTACTTATTGAAATTAAATAATAATAATTAAAATATATTTTTTAAAATTTCTGAGAAAAAATTAATTATTACTCATCACAGAAATGGATACACCCAAACAGACAATGAAAATGGTAAATAAATGTCCGTCAACTGTTCGGCATATCATTGAGCGTTACTGTAACGAAAATAGGGTGGAGAATACGTCAAGGTTAGCTCCAAATAACATCTTCAATGAACGTGAGGAAGATGGATTGTAAGAGAGGTATCGAATTATAATAATTTACATAGTCGGACTGCCAGAAATAAACCTTTCATTAGCCGAAGAAATAGACGCGTGAGATTGGCATTCGCTAGAGGGCATATCGATAAAGATTTGAACTTCTGGAATTCAGTAATATTTGCCGGGGAGACCAAAATATATTTGATTCCGATGGAAAAATATCAGTATGGAGAAAGCCTAAGGAAGAATTAAAATTGAAAAACGTAAAAGCTACGGTAAAGCACGGTGGTGGTGGAGTGACGTTATGGGTCTCATTGAAGGAAATATGAACCAATATGTGTATTTGGATATATTAAGGCAGCATCTGGCTGCTAGTGCCCAAAAATTAAATATGGATAACAACTATCAGTAATTTTTCTCTATTGATTTGGTTATATTTTGTTTTGTATCATTTAAACTGTGACGGTAATATTGTTTATAATTTAATTAATTCTTTATTGTTAACTAAGTGAGGCATATTTAATACAAAAATGAATTCATCCTTTTTTAGGAGGCTCTTTACTAACCTAATTTCAATAAGTTTTTTTTTCAAATAAATAAAGAGACATTTAGTCCAGTTAGTTTTTGTTATAGCGACTGCATCAGTTGACAAAGCGTGTATATTTAAAGATTTTGGTAATTGCCAATATGCGTCAATGTCAATATTAAAAAACTGTGTGTACACACATTAATTGGCTAATGTCAAATTGTTTATTAGGTACTTATAATGGCTTCGTCAATTTAGATGAAGGTGATTGTCAATTTTTCTTTATAGAAAATATTGACGATTGACAGAATGTTAAAAATTAATCGGTGAAGTCACAGGACAGGACCGATTTGAATCAACAAGTTGCTGATTCGGTTTATCAAGATAGGCTTGGCTGACAGGGCTGCTTCCCAAAAAAATCTCGAAATTGGTACCCTTCAAGTATTACTGAACTACAAATTTTCTTCGAGAGCGTAGGTGTAGGGCACCCCAGTGCTTGTAATGTTCCGCTTCCTGGCACGAATAATGTAAGGGTGACCCTTATACACAGCGCTTCCGGTATAGTTCTTGGAAAAATAATGCAAACAAGTAGACAACCACTCCTGGCCTTCAGAGTTTTGGCGTTTCACAGTAAAACTAAGAAAATGTAACATAAGTTTCAATAGGTGCGCGTCAGATGGCGCAATTAAAAAATATGCAACATTCAATACTCCAATGCGCTTTGTTGACATAATATTAACGGAGAACTTATGATCGTTTTGGTTTGAGTGTATTCGATGAATAATCATTAATTTATTATAAATTGTGTTTCTAGGATCTAAAATAAATTTGACAATATGTTTATACTACATTTATTTGTATTTATTTTATAGCGATATATTATACATCTTAAGTTTTACAATTGTGCCCTTTGAATATTAGAAATTAATCAGTGTTTAAACTGTATACTTCCACTGATGGAAGTATACAGCTTTCTTTTAAGCAAATTATCATAATACTTTATTTTACTTATCATTTGGATGATGTATTTGCTTCTCAATTATCCCTTTTAATAATTTTTTTCGCAAAACAAATGGTTAAATAGTGGTAGTCATTGTGTAATTAGAGTTAGGTATTTAACGGCTTTATAGTAGGTGTATGTTCTAAGCCTCGTAGAAACTTTTAAATATAATGTTAATTTCTGAAAAGTAGAGCAGAGAAAAAATAATTGTAAGTATTGATAAATAAAACAAACTTTTAAATTTTAAACAACTGTTGTTATGTTGTATGTAATTCACTAATTTAAAAATATTAAACTTTTTTTTCTCTTATTTCATGACGCTCTGAATGTTCCAAGGCAGTAATAAAACTTTATTATTTCATCACTTTTGTACGAAAACGCCGAAAATATATGGTTTTAGTTATGGGTTTTAGTTTAATTCGCAAATTTTTGAAGAATAAATCAAGTCAGAGCTTCTGACAAAAATATTGAGAAAAAATCAGAGAAACAAGTCAGAATATCTGATGTTTTTCACAAATTTGCCTGTAATTTAATAACTATATTTTATTTTGGGCGTCAATTTTGTGGTTATTTTGTTAGAATTTAAAATAAGAAAACCAAGCAATCTGGAACTACGACTAAATAAAGAAGTATAGAACCAGAACTTAGCAACGGAACATAATTTAAATAAATATCCAAGAGAAAAAATTCTCATTTTTTCATGGTGAATTTTAATTACCTGTTTGCGCGTATGTATTGTTCTAGACGACAGTCTGAAATTCTAGATTGCCCTTTATCCATTAATCTTTCACCGAGTTATTTTTCCAGATTTACTTAGGCAAATACTTCAGTTTGAAACACCAATTCCTGAACTGGCATATCAGGTACTCTTTTCATTAAATTGGCAAAGCTTGCTCCACTGGTTACAAGAAATACGTCCTGCAAAGTGCATTTTGCGTTTTCAGATTATCAAGCTCGATAAGGTTTCGTTTAGCTTTATATTATTCTGGGGAATGGTCTCTCTTTGTTTACCATTCTCCGTTTTAATATACTTTTGCTTCGCAATGGACACGGGGCGATTTAACGACAGATTATTAAACAACGACAGGAAAAACACGATAAAGAAGAGCTGTGGATACCTGCTGCACATTTTCCTCGTATTGCTGCTGTGAGTTAAATTTTATGGTGGATATTTTTTGATATTCACTCATTCATTAAGTTAATTAAGAAGAGGTACATTACGAGGGTTACCTTATATATTTCTGAATTTGTAATAAAAAACTATAAGCTACCAACAAATATGACTTTACTATTTCTCAATATATTCACCCTGATGATCAATTCACTTTTGCATTCGACAAAACCAATCCCATATCGATTCCGGCACCTCCAAAACATACTTTTTAAACGCATCAATCGCTTCTTCTGTATGTATATGAAATAAAAGAATTGAATAGGTGCTAAATCAGGACTATATGGCGGATGGCTCATCAAATCAACGTTTTTTATGCTCAAAAAGTTCTTTGTTTGCACTGATCGGTGAAAACTAGCATTGTCGTCGTGGAGAGTGATTCGTCTTTGGCGGTTGGTTTTTCTAATTACTTCAAAGACTTTCGTCAAGCAAATGGTTGTGTACCACTCAACTTTTGTTGGCTTTATTTTATTTTGAAAGTCCCACACAGTCAACTGCTGCTAACTTTCAGATTCATATGCACGGATACATGACATCACCTGTCACGATATCATAGACGTCTTTGGAAGCACCGTGATCGTATTTTTTTAGCATTTCTTTAGACCAAATGTTCATGCAAAATAGGATGTATTCTGGTCCCACTGATGCCCAACGGTACTTCAATCTCATTGTACAACCACCGATTTTGGACAACCTTCACGAAATCCATGCTTGAGAAAACCACGACCATGACTGAAGTGCAAAAACCAGCGATAAACAATAGTCCTAGACGGTGTTTTAACACCAATTGTCGAATTCAGTTCATCGATGCATTGTTGTTGAGTTGAGGTCTAAAGTTGTAAAAAAATATTCAACGAAAATGTTCCCGATTAAGTTTCATTATTAACCGTCATAATTTTTTTTAATTTATACCAAAAAACACAAACAACACTGTTTTGCCAAAACTTAACTGAGTAAACCTAACCCCAAAATGTCAAACTTCCTTATAAAAACGTTAGTCGCCAGATGGCAGGACTAGTTTAAGAAATCCCGAAATATAAAAGGCAGCCCTCGTAATACAGTGTGTCCCACGTAAGGATGGGATAACATGGGGATACCGAAAACTGCATGAGATACAGGATCGTTTAAATTAGGAAAGTTTCAAGTTTTAAATAATTTTATGAGAAATTTAAATCTGCCTGTAAAATTATTCCAGCGTGAATCATCCCTAAGAAACTTGAGAAAATATAAAAGGTCTTGTCTACGACATTAGCACATACTCCTATAGGAGCTATATTGAATACTTTCACTATTAGATAGTTCACGCTTTGAATGATATATCACATGATGCATTTATCAACATTTTTAGGATCAGAAAAACAAAATTTTATTTATTTTTTATAGTAGGCCATGATCGCTGTCAACAGACATTGAGAAAAACAAAAATTGACATTTTGATGCATACCAAACATTTTGCTACTCTGAATTACATTTTTCCTTAAAAATTGTCTATTTGACGCCAATATAATTATTATTTATCGACTGCAGTTGCTATCTTTAACACATTCAAATGTTAAAATTAATAAAAACTAAAAGTGCAGATTATCTATTTTGACATGACAGTTGTTTCGACAACACCGTGTCTTTATCAAATGTAATATTTACAAACTACCTGCTACTATATATACCGAAAAATGACCATAAAACCTTAATTAAAGTTGTTGTGGGAATTTATGTTCAATAAAGGAGAGGTATTTAAATCTAATTGATCGTTAAGCAATACATTTGAACGTCTCATTTTGTTAATCTCCATGGCTTATAATAAATTCAATTTTCTACTTTTTGTGGCTGTATGTAATATATCAAACTTGTCGTCAAAAACGTATTTTTCTGTGTTCAAGTGTGTAGCATAATTAGAATCTAGACTATTGTTTTTAAACGCTCTTTTCTGTTCATTAATGCGTGTCTTGAAGGATCTACCTGTTTGTCCAATATACATTTTAGGACAAGATTCGCATTTCAACCTGTAGACACCTGATTTTTGAAATTTTTGGACATTTCGTTTTATTGTTTTTTAAATATCTTCCTATTATGTTGTTAGTTCTGAAAGCTATTTTTAAACCACATTTTGACAAATGTTTTGAAACTTTTTCACTCGGTTCTCCTATGTATGTAATTGTTTTAAATTGTTCGTGTTCTGTATTAGGTTTTGGATAAATAGAGTTTACTGTTGTCTGGATTTGTTTTAATTTATAAGTTTATCTATAATGGACGGATTGTTCGTGAAAATCTGAACTTTTAGTTCTTATTTATTTTGATAATTGGATTTTCATCAAGTAAAAGCCACCTCAGTTCAACATTCAAATGTATTTATGTATTTACACCTTTGAATACACACAGAATAAAGCCAAATTGAGTATTATTTATTTGAAATTAATTTTTGTTGTGAATGAGGGTGTGACTGAATTTTAGAAAGTTGATTTCAGCCAGATTGATGTTATTAAATCTAAGCGTTTCCCATCCATTTTTGTAAGTAATTTTCTGTATATTTTCAACAAAATATTCAAATTAGAGAACGGTAGTTTTGAAATTGCCATTTATAAACCTTCTGGGTTCCTCCTGCATCGATTGTTGATGAATCAGATTTGCTGATGTTTCGCCAATAATCCTGATGGTTTCTCCCGAGCTTAATTGAAACTTGTATGCTGAAACTGGTATGCACTGTACCCGCTTGTCTACTGTTTGAGGGAGGTAAAGCTAAAGGAGAGAGAGGATGGAGTTAAATACCCCCCGTTTTACCCGGATTAACGATTTTTCCTGCATCTATCATCAGAATCTGTTTTCCCGATATGTCCGATTGTTGGGAGAATATTAGAGCGCTGTTACCTCAGAAGACTATTTCATAACAAAAAAGAGCTACTAAAATAATAGACGCGCCTCCTTCAAGCAGTATGTAGCAAGGTACCGAATATGATGTTCGCCAGTTGCAGTTGATCTCTCAAAGATTATTGGAAAAATGTCAGCAACACATTAGAGTTGCCCGTGGAAGTTTCATTGAAAAATCGCTTTGATGTTAATTCTCAGACTACAAATTTTTCCGTTGTGAACGGCGCAAGCCGCTTGTGAATCGAAACCTGGATTTAAGGTGTCCGATGATCTTCATAATGGCTGCCAACGAGCAAATATCTCGGTCTTTAACCAAATCTCCAGAGATAGTGGGGATCATCTACGAGGATTTATACACCTTCATAAGAAATTCGCACATGCAAATCTCATTTGTGGCGACATCTTCAACGGATATTGCCATCGAGGCGATACGAAAAGATTTAGATGGTAAGTACGAGCAATTTTTGCTTATTCTGGTGGGTATTCTTTTTGGTAAATGGAAAAATAAGGGGTTTGGGGAGGAGATCAGAGACGGGAGAAAGTCTCGCTATAACAAAATGTAGAGGTATTGAAATGCAGACATTCATGAAAGAAAAGAAAAATATATTCATAGATATATGAATATATTTTTATATATGAATGAATATATATTCATAGATATATGAATGATTTAAAAACTGCGATCGCAGTTTTTAAATGAACAAGTTATAGATGCATGGAATTGCTATAATAATTAAGTAAATATGTTCGCGAAGTTGCTCAGTCAAGTGGAGGTACTTAAATTGATGGCTTCAAAGTAGCAGATTTAACGATCGATCTGCTTTCCACAGAGATCGATCGGTTGGTGGGCGTAACTTATCAGCAAGAGATGGCGTCGGAAACTGGAATGGACGTAGAGCTTCCAAACCTAGAGCGCTTACAAATCGGTAAGGACTTTGGAGCCGCATTTCACTTATCTTACAGTGAGAAGCGGTTTTCGCAATCGTGTGCTACTTTTTTGTGATGGCTTAAACGAAATTTCCCCTGACCGTTTCGTCCTTAAGATGCAGATCATTTTTCAAAACGTTAAGATTTAACGTTCTCCATAGAATCCAGAATAAGTATACGGGGTCAGGTCGAAAGTTTATTGGAGCCTATGTAACTTCTTTAATGCAATATTCTGAGTAATAATAATTATAATAATAACGTTTATTTGCCATATAAATTCAAAGGAGAACATAATCTAGAAATACTTATTTCACATTATATATTAAGCAAAATGAGTTATAATCTATTATTAAGCGACATAAAAGGGGACATGAAATAGATCCCTGAGGAACGCCACAGAGTACATCTCCAACAGATGGTACGACACTCTTAATCTCCAATTAATACTATCACTGTATGTAACAGCAGTTGATGATTTTATTCATCGAAAGCTTTAGAGTAGTGCAACAGCACTAAAGAAGTGGCTTTTCCAGAATCTCTAAGAAAATCCTTTCCTAACAACCGACTGCAAATTCTCGAAAATGTTAATATCTAGGTGATCCATATTTTTTTGAAATATTTTGCACTGTTATACTGATCAGCTTGAGGATCTAATTTTGTTGATAGAGATAAAGAGTTATGATTTTCCGCTATGCCATAACCAGATAAAAAAAATCTAGTGAGCTGCTGTCACTTCTTAAGGCGTTTCTTAATATGGTGAGTTGCGCTAATCCAGAAATGGCAAATATGCATGTCAGATATGGGTGTGCAAACGGGAATTCCTTTCAGAAATCAAAATTAAATTATTTTTATTATGTTAACTGTTTGGCAGCACCAACAAAATTGTATTTCTGAAATATATTTTTTTCGATATGCAATGCTTACATTTAATTTTTTTATTTGAAAACTGTAAGTTTCTTGAAAAAATTGCAGGAGTTAAACAAGTTTCTAGCAAACCCGTCGATCGAAATTTATTTCTTTCCATTTCGTTGAGTACTTTTTTATTCAAATTTAGCAACGAATATTGGAGGTAGTCTAATTCAATTCGGTCCATTTTATTTTAAAAATAATAGAAAACTGTACAGAAAGTGTGTTTTTCTGATAGTAATACTCCATTTATATTTTATTATTCTCTCTATTTATCAGTAAGACATCATGTCATACATATTAGCATATATCATATCATTTAACTCAGCTTCAGGGTCTTCATTACCTGTATAACGAAGAACCTCAAAGAAAAAAGTAAACAGTACAAGAGATAGTAAAGAAGGGGAGAATAAGAAACTAGGATCTGAATAGGCACTGCAAGTAAGCTTTGTGTCTGTTGGGGAAATGGGCAGCGAAAATTCTGTTTACCACATTTTTGCATGGTAGAGTCAGATACCCAGCACTACATCATTAATATCTCTATAGAAACCGCTTCTGCTGCCTCAATTGCTTTGGATCTCTTGAGAGATTGCGAGGCTGCCGGAAAAGCTGCAGAGGTACTGAAAACTCAGCTAAAAGATATCGCCTTCCGCCTCATGGTTCTGAAGCAGCAGTGCTCCATGAGAGATAGCGCGCTGTGCCAGACGCTGCAGTTTACTGGGTACGAGGTGTCTTTACCGCTCGATAATGTAAGTGAATTGGCGAAGCCGGCCTGGCCTTGAAATAGGCTATATATCTCTACTGATAGATAACCTACGACGACAAGGTGTTGCAACTACAACGCCTGTATAACGAAGGAGATTTCAACCAGAGCATCGAATATACGCGAAGAAGTTTTTCCTCGATTCCAGAAGACGTTGCCTTCCATGCAGCTCAATTCGTTGCAGGTAATTTTTCATTCATAGACCTATTCAAAGTTTTAACTTATTTAGCACTAGCCTAGTCAGAATAAAAAGTAACTGCTTCTTCTCCTAGACGTTCGCCTTGATTTTGTATCGTGCTCCTGCGGACCTCTCTGGAACTCTCGAGAAGCTATAGACCGCCGATAGGATAGCTTCTCACATTCTTAGGAAACTCTGTATAACATATCTGAGGAAAAATAATTTTTCTTTTCGTTAACCACAGGTTGGACGAAAATATTAACGAAATGAAAAATTTTCGTCTCGGAAAATTTCGGTTGCAATAGTTTACAAAATTTAATCAGCCACGACATCAGAATATAATAAAATTAAATATTTAAATGAAAAAAAAAAATGACTTGCAAACGGGTTCGATCTCGAGTTCTTCCCAGTCTCAGGCGACGCCCTGTTTATGGCCAGTATTCCACCCGCTACGACGTATAATCCTCTTTACTGAAGTCCCTATAGTTTTAAAGACGTTCTTTAGAAATATTTTATTTAGACAATGAAACTCAAATACAGATTTTTTTCCACCTATTCGATTAATTAAACTCATAACCGCATTAATGAGGGATATACGACGTAAAACCGTCAAAAAATGGAGACTCTGTACATCATCCTTATAATCAATCCGTTATATCGATAAATATTATGAATTTGCAGATATGAAATCGTTGTTGAGTAAGAAGCGAACACAGATTTTCCATTCGACGCACGATCTTGACGTTTTGGTCCGGTCGATATCCCAAGAAATCAAATCATACGAGGAGGCCGCGTTTTTGCTAGCTCAAAAGGCTCTCGATTGGGATACATGGCGTTGGATTGTTGGCTTAGGTACGTCTCATGGTAATATCGCTTTATTGACCCAAACAGGTTTAAATTTTTCGCCCCGTTCAGCGATCATATGATAATCTTTAAAAAACAGTAATAGAAAGGAACAGTAGAAAGGAAAATTACGCATAACGAGACTTAGTCTGGACCCTTCGTTGGTTGTAACATGCCCTTGATTAACAATATAACAATATTGACTTGCAAATTAAAAGCGCACTTCGGTGAGAGCATCAAAAAATGTCTTCTTCGGTGCGTTGTGTACACCTGGTAGTAGCTAAAAAGTCCAAAAACACTATAATCCATAATCATACATTAAAGGACTTGCTAAAATAGTCAGCTTTATTTCCATTACAAGCTCTGAGTATGACAGTTTTAATGATAACAAAAAAGTAAAAGAAGTTGTTGGGATGCATAGACTAAAAACAACAAATAGATAATCAGCACAACGCCGTGGTGTGGCAAACGAAAGGGGACCTATTCAGTATTCGTTTGCCTTATCGATTTCTCCAAGGCGTTTGATAAGGTTCAACATGGAGACAATGGAGGCTTTATCTGATATAAAATTAGACGACAGAGATTTACAAATAATTTATTTTTAATTATTTTGGGGACAAACAGCATATCCCAACATCGATGGAAGAAGACTGGGATGCGTACTATACCACACTATGCACATAATGCTTCTTTAGCATCAAACACGTTAATATGGGTTACATGAAACAAGTGCGGTAAACGGCATTTGATTCACGGGTTTATTTGACACGAGCGGAGCGAGTGTTTAATAAACGAGTGAGTTAAAAAGTTTACCGAACGTGTTGCATACTATACTTTTTCTACGACCGTTAGTTTTTGGGTACATTTTCGCAAAACACGAATACATTTACTGACATGACTGTCAGAATTGACAAATGTCAAAATTCAAAGCGTGGGAAATATCTCCGAAAACATCCGATTGTTCCCAAATCCGTCCTGACGTGGTAAAGTGTATGTATTTTACAGACGGGCGTAGAAAAAGTTGTTTTGATCACAGCTTAGTAAAATGTGACTTAGGAAGCGTCCGTACAAGACCCCTGCTATAACCAAACCACTAGATTAAACATGTGATGCGATTGAAGAATATAAAGTCCTTAGAAAAGCGTATTTCAATCACCAATTTTGAGTTAATCCTAATGAATTTTGGCGTTCCTTCCGTTGGATCAATATTCAATTATCTTTCAATGTTTCTTTGATGCGCGCGCTTTGATTTACCGCCATACTAATAGTATAAAAATACTTACCGTCTGGAAAATATTTTTAATTATTAATTTAACAAACTAAACTTTTTATTATTATTTTATAAGCGAAGTTTCTAATTATATTAAAGGAAATAAACAATCAAATTTCCAAAACACACAAAAACAATTACACATATTTGTTCATGATATGTTTTTCGCTTATTCTTTGTAACAAAAGAACCTCATTGCATAGTAAGTAATTTTCTTTTGCCCGTTCTGTCACCCAATTAAAAGAATTTGTAATATCATTGATGTCATCCAACGTTTTTTCATTTTCTTCAACTTATTCTCACACCCAAGGCAAGTTGCATTATCTACTAAGAAAGGGGCATTTATGGGAAGGTTTTTAGTGTTGAGTTGCTGAAATCTAAATCTAATCTAATGAATCAATTATATATTTGTTCAGGCAAATAGCAATTTCAACAACACGATTTTTAAATACACTTCAAAATCCGTATCCCGCGGTGTGTTTCAAATGTCGTTTACCATACATCAAATCAATTACAAATATTTCAGGTCCATTGTTTAATCAATTTTAATCAAATTTGGAAGTACATCGTTTAATTGTCGTCGCTCCAAGAACCAAGAAAACACTGTTTCGTCGATTTCTTGATTCGCTTCATCTCTGTTTGATTCACTTACGTTTTGGATGCATATTCTTCTAAATGTTCTTTATTTTTTTTATTCGACATGTTGTAGATCTAATAACGAAATTGAAATTCTCTTTTTCTTCCGATTCACATTTTATGGTCGAATTTAAACTACAAAAACATGAATTAATTTACACATCCTAACAGAATGCAAGCAAGTATTCTATTTAACAGAAATTCAATTCAATACGGGCAGCACAAAACACAAACATATTCCAATAACAGATTTTTTGACAATTTGAGGTTATGTTGTTGTGAACACGTGATTTTACTTCTTAAATGACCTAAACATAACAAAGAATATTTATTATCACCACCTATTTTGTCTTAATGACAATGCGAAAAGGATAACAGAAGACAGCATATATGTCTAAGACTAAATATATGTCGATCAACGATGCGAAGAACGAAGCGAAGAGGGCTCCACTCTTTCGCTGCCATATCTTTTCGGTTCTACTTTATGACTTGGAATTTTAAACCTTGACAGAAGCCACCACAAAGTAATTATAATTCTGGATAGGACAAAGAAGAAGACTTAAGAATGTGCTCTGTCACAACTAACTTAACTCATTTCTTATATTACCTATTATGTAATATTGTGCATAATTTCTTAGGGTGTAACTCCTTATGGGCTTCAAATAAATACATATTTTTCCAGGAGTAGCAGTAACATTAAGCATAATATGGGGATTGTTTTTATGCGGAGCACCTTGCGGATGCGGTTTCGTATCTAAAACCGTCACGGTATTGAAGTGTGGATTAACGCTGGCAAGTACCTCTTGCCTTCTGATGTGGCTGTTGGGAAGCCTCTCGCTACTCATCGGAAGTAACAGTCAGCTTTTGGTTTGCCTACCATTTTACGATCACCCCCGGTATAATTCTCTAAGTCAATTGTATGATGCCGGCGGAGTCTTTTACCCAGAATCCGGCCTTTTCGGACGCTTTATCAAAGGCAGCGACGACTTGCAAGTTGCCAACGTTCTAAAGTAAGCCGCGAAATCGGAAGGGTTCGAATTTGACATGTCAGTTGTGTTGAAACAGAGCTTGCCAAAGGGAACACGCGGCGTATGCGACGTTTGGCATCGAGGATCGAATTAATCTCGAAAAAAATCTCAACTTCAAAGGATGGAACGACATGGAAACATTGCTTTACAACTTCACATCGTCCGAAAGCCATTACGAAATTCTGAGTCCGGCCCTGCAAGTGAATCTCCATGTAAGTATAGTTGTGATAAGCGGGATTACAAGGGATCTCTGACTGAATGTTGCGTATCGGATATACGCGGGGCTTTCCAAAAGTATGATATATTTATAAATAAATAATATGAATATGTAAGTATGTTTATGAACCATTAAAAGAGAATAAGGCTTGAATCGTTTCACAATAAAAAAAATCGATTCTTATCAGTAAATTCCAGAGTGTTTCACGTATGCACTTCATTAAATTCTTATTTTTTCCACGATAAGTATATATTGATTTCAAAATTTAAAAGACCCTCTGGAATTTAGTGTTAAGAATAGAAAATTTCTGTTGCCAAACCTTTCAAGTTCTGTTGAAAGGGTTTATTTTTTCGTTCGGCTTGATAGTTTCTTTTTCAAAGGAGCTTTGTGGTAGAGCATGATTGCTTATAAAAACAAATTTAAACTTTGGAAGACTTTTATTGCAATAATTAGTTAAATAGTGGAAATACGAAGGAAAACAATAAAATTTTGTTTGTTTATTATTTTTATATAAATTTATTGACAAACTTCCGTCATATCAAACACGTTAAAATCTTAATTGACAAAACAGGTGTCCCTAACCGAAATCCCATTTCAATTCGGAAGTGCGTTTTTTTCAAACCTTTAACCTATAACTTTGAAATTGTCAATATTAATGTTGAAAATACCTATTTGATTTTAACATTGTGGCATCCGACGCTAGCAGTGTTGTTTGTTAATTTCCCAAGAGAATCTTGGCATCGGAAGTGATCCTGAATCCTGAAAACGATTTCGAGCTTCATTTGCATTTATTCTACTGTGACTTCGTTATCACGATATGTTAGCGCATCTATGAGTGACTGTGGGCTACTGGACTTTCCTTGGAAAGAAATAGAAAAGAGCAAATAGCATTACCTCATATAATGGACAATTAAAAAAAGACAGTACCTGCCACAACCCTCCGCTACACAATGCGTCACACATTTTGCTCACCTATTTCGGTTGCCGACTAGAAGACGCGCGACTTTCTTTGCAAGCGCACCAAGGTATACGGCGTCAACCAAAGTTGGCCCACTGCCAACCTACTGCGATTTAGTCAGAAAAGTTATCACGTGACTCAAACTGACTTACCATTTCGTGGTCTCGATGTGTCGGTCCACTATCCAGAAGTGTCTTGTATTGACTTAAGCTTTGGTTTAGTTTTTCTTGTTCTCGACTGGTGCAAACTTTGCTATTGCAACGACATTTAGGTACATCATAAATCATCTCACTCCGACATTAGATGAAATGTTAAGTTTTTAATTTAATCACTGGTTAATACAGGGTTTACCACCGCGACAGTCCATCAGAAGTTGTGAAACTTGGTGTACGATGATAATTGACGCAGACGTACAAGTTCAAAATATTTTTGCTGTTGCAATGTTGCCGAGTCTACCCGAAACCAGTGGTAACATTAAAATTTCAATTGTAACAAAAGAAATTAATTTTTATTATTAATGTATTTCTTTTAAAAGTGTACATTCATTCGCTATCGACTTTGAAAGTGTTCGTCTTTCCATGAAAATGTCACACTTTATCGAAGATGGGTCTCAAACTGTATATACAAGCTCGGTAGCAATGATAGCAGGAAACTTTTCACTCCACCCTCGTATGTTAAAAATAACTTGCAGATCCTCTCCTCGATAACGTCAACTAACTTCTCCGCTCATCGATTGGAATTCAGCACCGGCGTAACGAAAAAGGACGTTGGTTCTTTCGCCGACCAGATAAACACCGTAGCTAGGCAGTTGAGCGACCCAGTCGTGGCCAGAAAGTTCGATAATTTGGCCTTCGACCTCAGGAAAATCGTTGACGACGAGCTTCGAACGGTGTCCCAGATCCGCGGTCGCATTCTGTACAAACTGACCAACCTGGAGGTCATTCTGTCGCCCCTGAACAGACATGTGAAGCAGTCACTGTCGCATCTCAAAAGTATCCAGTTCTTTATCGACAGCCGCGGATGGCAAACCGCTCAAAAGGTGAGTCCCACGTAGGAATAGAAAGAGACACGAGTGACGCGACAAATTGGGTGTAGAGTTCGCACAACCATATACCGTTTTCGGAATGAGTTTAAGACCCAACTGTGGAAGGAGTTGTTCTTTTCAGCACGTGTACCACAAGCCAGGGCCGTATTTAACATGTTAGCCGACAGAAATTTTCTTTGATTAAACCGTTATATTTACCCATTGGATATTAAAAACACATTAGAAAGACTCTGAAATATTTTCCTAGGAAAGATAATTGATTTTTAATAAATGATTTCCCAGTTTTCTATTGGCCGATTTGTGGGGGCTTGTGAAATCAGAATATGCTGTCTTGCTGATATTCAATTCATATATATTTAATTACAATTTATTTCTTACCAAATACTAACATTATTCGATTGTGTTTGTCATTTGCGATGTCCGCGTTGTGGTCTAATAGTCGTTGATGATGAACATCCCTCAAATTCTAATGGATCAAATTGTTGCCAATATTATAATCGCAGAAAATAGAACCATAACATTAACGTCCGAGAAGTAGAAAAAATACCTGCGTCTAGTTGAGAAAAATGTGTAGAACATGTTATCGAAGATGAAAATGTTTACAGAATAGTGCCAGAATTATTTATTGATGTAGAGGACGAGTCCAGTGACGACAGTGATTATTTTGATGTAGAATAACTTTTTTTTATAAATATTCTGACACTGTTTTATAGCTAAATTAACTCCTTCATTTATGTTTATACTAAACAATTTAAAGTAAGAATGCAATTTTTCTAGACTAATAATAATCGAGGAATCTCACCGATGACACTCTACACAAATCCGTCAGCTTTCAGCATTTATATTCACGAAGTACCGAAGTGCGGTCTATTTATTGAGTGTTACGAAAATTCGTTTCTTTCTTATTCATATCCAACTTGTATCCTCTGTTCTGAATGCAGCAGAGTTATAAATCTTTATTCTTCATATCCTATGCACGATTCCTAACCACCAAGAGCAACACCAATTACACTAGCATATCCTGGACATAAAATATTTGTGTTCTCTACTAAATTTGTTTCTTTTTTTTGGTAGGCAAATATTTTTTTTATCACGTGCGGTACATTTCTTATTTTCCCGAGCTTCATAATGTTGTTGATGTTCAGTTCTCACCAACAAATCCCCCCTCCCCCCTACTTTGTGAGAACATCGTCATCATCATCTCCTAACCATCTCGCGTGGCATTTATCTGTGGTTAGTTTTGGTTAGGCTTGTTAGATTAAAAAAAAACTGAATTCCTTGTCGTACCCATTGGTCGGTGGTGGCTTACTAGTTTCAATCACTCATGAAGACATGTATGCTGACGTTTTCGAAGACTACCAGATACCAGATATTCTGTTTAAAATAATGACTTCATTCATTCATTGACTTGCTGAAAAAAGAGCTCCTGGAGATTATAGTTGTAAGTAAACCTCAAAACGAAATATGACGGTACTTCTCCTTCCGCCATATCATTGTCCCCGTAGAATTAGTAGGAGAGCAAGTAAACAGGCTTGTAGGAAAACATGACACCACATTCAAAATGAGGAACTTCGAAAGAGGGAATCGAAGATGTATAGATACAAATAATAGAAAGAATGTGCCAATGATGACCTACAAATACTATTAGAATTGTTTAATCGAAGTCAACCACCTCAAGGTTGCCGATCCTAAACTTGTCGACGAAAAAAGTGTCAATTTATGGGTTATGGTGACGTTGGTAAGCTAACAAACGAACAAAGCAGCATGCCTAAGTAACCATTAGCAAAACAAATACTGAGAGTAGAAACGAAAGCCAGAATCTATGAAACAACGATTAGACCAATCATGGCGTATGCAGCAACAACATTAAGCAGATGCCGGATCCAATAAAAATGAAGGTAATACGCAAAATTGCTGGACAGAGAGAGAAGCGTGCAACATAAATAACATTAACAAATGAATATTACGAAAAAAAAAAACGGAATGGAACGACTAGGTCAATCGCATTCAAGAATGCCAGGCCAGTTTTGCTAAATTGAAGGTAGTCTGGACTCTAATTACTATAGTTCATGTTACAATTCCAAACATTTTTTTAAATAATAATATTTATTTAATTTCTTTATTTTCCTATTATTCTTATTTTTATATCGGTTTTAAGTGACTCAATCTTAGAATAATAATAATTATTATTATTATTCTAGAAAACTACCTGCAGTGATGCCAAACTTTTCTTTCAATTGCATTAAAATTAGTGTGATCCTATTTTAGGAACCATTCCAGGTAAAAACTGAAATACATAATTTATCTGAAACTCTCATGAGAATTTATCTGAAGTCTACGATATAATTTTTAAATTGTCCATTAATTATTAAGATCTTTTAGTGAGTGATATTTTATGAGTTTAAGATACACGTTTGGTGTGGTACAATTTCTAATTTTTTTCATTAGTTTTTTTGAATTGCAGACCAATCCTCGTTAACATTTAAACCTAATGTTTGGATATGCATGATGAGGTAGATTGAGATGGACAAATTCAATATTTGAGTTGAAGTTTTTTTGTAATACTTACAAAAACCCGCAGAGACTGACGGTGAAACTGGCGCCCTCTAGGAGCAACGCCCAAATAAGTTTCAACCGCCAATTTTTATTATGATACCATAAAATGTTTCTCAATTAATGAGAAAATTCAGAATAAAATTTAAACCATTCGAAGCCACCCAGTTTCAATGTTGCTCATTCTTTATGAATCACCCTGTATAATTACAAATGAATTGCTTCTGTGGATGATTGCTTGTTTAAAAAAAGGTTAGCTGTTTAAATAAATTGTTTGAAGATGAAGATGAAGTGCTGAAGGTTCATGTTAGAATGGATTCAGAAATAAATTATTTTTAAAATGTTTGGAAGATATGGTAAATGTTGGTACATGATTACAGCACCCAACAAAATTATTTCTCTAAAATAATCTGTTTTTTGCAATGCTTTATACTTTATACTTTTTGTATTTGGAAACTGTAAGTTTTATGTAAAAAAAACGTGATTATCATTTATCATTTTTATCATTCCAGGTTAGAGGTCAATTCGTCAAAAGGATTGAAAACCATTTGGAAAAGCTTTATACGTACGTGAGCACTAAAATCAACAAAGACGTAGGAAAATGTCGTCCGCTTTGGGACATTTTCCACGCTTCAAGATTTTTCTTGTGCAAACTTATTGTGGACCCAATGGTAGATATATATATTAAACTAATCGTTTTTGGGCGCAGAAGCGAAAGTTTTCGACATTTTTATTTCAGAATGGTATAGCGGTTTGCAGCGTTTTTGTCATTTTCATTTTCGTCGGCATCGCACCGATCGTCATCAAATTGATCAAGCTATACAGGAAAGAACGAGATGAAAGTATCTCGACCCCAATTTCGCGTGAGTGAGTGTTTTTATTATTTTATTGTTGATAATTTTTTACATTTGTAGTCAAAAAATTATTTTTCTAAAAAAAAGTATGGCTATTATTGATTGGCCAGAGGTTTTGTCCCTCCGTTTTCCATAAACCAAATAAACCGAGGATATGTAAATATAAATATATAAAAACTGGAAGAAAACCTGAAATCAGATATAAAACAATACAAAATCTCCAGAAATTCTGCGACTGCATTAATTAAAATTAACAAAATAACAAAAATCTCAATTGCCCTATCACAGAGACTCAGCTGATTTTTATGCAAAGTTTAGTCCACAGCAGTCGGAGCAGATGGCTTGCTTGGTTATTGACATTTTCTAATCTGATCTGGTTTATGAGACACCCCGTATATTACATTTTTCTTTCAGGCACTAAATTTTGCAATATAACAGCAATATATGGATGATTCTGTTTTAACTGTAAATAATTAGTAATCTAATAATGAAATTTTGGTAATTATGAGATGATCATGAACATATTTCATCATGTTTTTTATATAATAAAATTTGCTGTTCAGAGAAAACCAACAATATAGCAGCTAAATGTCATGTCATATTAATTTCTAAAATTTATCTACAAATTCTTAATTTGTTTTTGTCCCAATTAATGATTTAAATTAATCAAATCATAAATTCTTATTAAATTTGAATTTATATGACTCGAGCGCCATCTACCTTGAGATTTATGAAACGTCAGTGAAAGTACGTCATCTGAGTATTGATTGCAAACATGAAGTTGATTAAATATTTATATGATTTTTGAACTACAATTTATTTTATGTCAGTACCGCCCATAGATGAGTCAGTACCGTGCAGTAAAATAATATGCATAAAATAATTTTAAAATCTCAGAAATTTTAAGTAAAAAAGTAACAGTTAGGAACTACCCACCCACACCCCATCAGAATATTTCTGCACATTACATCTCATTCGTCGCATACTTTGCTATATTTCAGATATTGACGTACTACCAATTACTGTTCATATAAGATTTCTTTCTCTATACTAACCAAAACTAAAACTCAAAACTAACCAAAATGCTTTGACGGGATTGTTTTCCACCATCCAACACTAACCAAAACTATCGGCTCATTAGTATGGCCAGCTTTGTAACGAGAGACCAGGTATTATTACTTTGGGTTCTTGATTCTTAATTCTTTTTATAATATCCAGTAAAGCTCTTTACAGTTGTTTTCAATGCTCTAGGACTGTTCTTTCACCTTTCAGAAACATTACTGACTCCTCACTTGAGACAATCTATGCTCTGGCTTTATATACATTGTTCAATTATGTTAACTAACCGTTACCGAGCACCAACTAAAAAGGAGAGTAGTTGCTCTCCTATCCAAGATCTTCTCCCAGAGATTCAAATATACTGCACATGTTATTGTTATTTTTCAGTTCATCCGATGGTTTACTTATCGAGGACGAGGCCATATGGACGACGCCTCCTCAACAGTGAGCCGTCGTATCAATATTATGCGTTTAATATTTTTATAAATTTGCAGATCGCCCCTACAACCAGTACACGCTCTCGAATGGTCTATCCCAGCGTTACCTAGGTATTTGTCTTGAAACACAGATTATAAAATATAATATATAAACAAATGCCTAACTATGAAATTTCTTCAGTATGCACATTCAGGAACCGATAATTCCAAGCCCTCCCAGGTAAAAGGGGTAACTGCAGTAGCGCTGTGGCATTATAATTAAAATAATAAAACCCAAAACTACTATTAATATGATTAAAAATCCATTAACATGGGCAGTTTAAATTAGTAGTAGTGAAAACTTGTCACCATTCTGTTTGCACTTACTTTTAAAACGGTTTTAAAAGTGCAAACCGAAATTGTGACTTCCTCACTGACTGACTTGTATTCGACTGTTTTCGTGTTTAGGCCGCCCTCAACAGTGTCGAGGCGTATATCAGCGGTCAGGTAAATAAGTTCGTTAGAGCTTTCCAGAGCCGTGTCAAAACATTCAATTTTTTTTAAGAATTCCGCAGATTCCTTTTGTCTCCAGGATGAAATCTCCAAAACTAGCCGATATGGCCACCACCGTGGCAGGGATCAGGTTTGACTAGTGTAAGACTCTTTAATAACAAAAAACGGTAATTTTGCTTTGGTTCTTCGCAGGAGGAACCTCCCAAAAGTATCGAGGACGAGGGCTCCACGAAGAGGGTATGATTTAATATCTAAGGCTCAAATTATACCTTGCTGTTCTCGAAATGTTTGAACTATTAACATACTTAATTTTTCAAAGAAACTTCCACCAGGTGATCTTACTGATGTTTGGTCAAATATATTGCTCTCTTCTTTAGAGCCTGGTGTGGAACTTTAAAAAACCTGGAGAGAGGGGGGTTTAATTGATGAAATGTCTCCTGGTTTATGTTGTTAGGATGATAGATGAGTATTTTTGTCTTATCTCATAAAATGTGGTGGTTTCCTGTTGAAATTCTGGTGTTTTTTAATCTGGTTGATATTTTTCTACCTGTTTCTTCGCCACACGTGCGGACATCTGCTGTGTCGGAAGGAATTTTATATTCAACCGATCGTTTTCGATATTTGATAAGTTAACAAAACGAAAGTTGTTTTTTTTTCTTTCCTTTTCAGTGGACACGAGTCATTAAAACTAATTGAACCGATTCACTGGAAATCCGGGTAAGTAATTATTACCACTTAACGTAAATATAGTATCAATCAGACTGTTCTTTGTGTGACATTGGAACGGAATATATATAGTTTTTATTCCCAGTTATATCTAATTAAGAATAATATGTGTGTTCCAGATCCACAACACCAGGAAGTTGGATATGAATTACTGTTAGTGGAAAAATCTAGTTTAAAAAAAATCAAAATAAACTGAAAAGAATTTGAAGACTTTCTTTCTTCTGTTGGGAATTAGTTTTATTATTAGCTAACGAAAAAAATGAAGTCAATGAAACTAAGTAACCAGAGTTAGAATCATTTGGTTTGTACCAAAAAGTATAAGATAGAGGGAAGGACGCATATACTGTTACGAATGACATCTATTATTTATGTCCAAGTACTAAAGTACTGTCATGGCGGTTTAGAGTAGTGCGTCACACTGAAAATACTACAGTAGCTTGTAGCTTATTATATTTTAATCAAAAAAAAAAATTAAAACTATTTCGACATAATTTTTTTTTTTCACATTTCGCCTTTGAAAGTTTGAATTGAATTGTTTTCAGGACTGGACACAATCACTAGAGGCGTTAAAACTCGTGTAGGCCACTAATGGGAGCTTTTCCCTCTATCTTATACTCTTTGGTTTGTACATTAGGGGAGACCGCGGCTAGTTGTCTAGTTAGACTAAATGTAAATACTGCCTGTAATAATCGTTAGATGTCGCCAATATTAGGTCGAGCGAAGCTTATGAATACTGTTCTGTCATCATATACTTTAAATAAATATTTTTATTCTAACTTTTTACGAATTTCCAGTCGCAAAGTTCGGATTGCTTTTGAATAATATTTTGTAGAAATAACGTATAGGGACTATAGTTTACTATTTTATTTTATCATTTACGTGACGCTAGTCCACCAGCATATTGAGTTCTGAGGAGGTGAGGAAAAAAAGAAATAAAGAAAAAAAGGAAAAAAAGAAATAAAGAAAGGTCCAGCTAAGAAAGGAAAGTCTAAAAAAAAAGAGAGAAGGAGTCAAAGATGGCCGCAGATTTCTCTTCAATGAAAATCGTTCGAAACCATCTACTTTACTTGAGAAATCTTATTCTATGTCAGAAGACCATACAAGCTGCTCAGCATGCGATAAGCACGATAATGAAAACACTTCTGAGGATTGGGTGCAATGTATTTTTTGTTTTTGTCAACTGCAATTCAAATGATGATTTAATCTTCATGTGTTCCAAATGAACTATTTCTGTACTTGCTACACATTTGTATTTATTTTTTTATGGATGTAATAAAAGCTTTTTTTGAGTCGTCATTTATTCGCTAAATATTTGGTAGTCAAATTTTAAAAATTTAAATTATTAATTAATTTTTAAATCGAAGAATACTTTTGCAAAAAAATGATATGTGCAAAATAATATACCTTGAATCATTTTACTTTTAAAGTAAATTTTCGAATATTATTGAACAATTATTCCGTATAACTTTGAGGCTTCAATGTTTACTGTTAAGTGTTTTTAACATTTTAGCTTAATGGATTAAAATGTGTTGTTGGATCGGACTATTCGGTATTTTCTTGTATCCAATCAATGTACTCCGAGACTCTGACGTAAACTGCGGGTGGACTTTTCGTCACTCCACATCCTGACAGTCCCCAAGATATAACTCCGATAAGAGTGTTGTTCGCCGCCAATGGACCGCCGGAATCGCCACTGCAAAATGATTGGTAGTCTTCCAGAGCTCCCGTGCATAGATTGTATTGGGTGCTAAGCGGATTTACATCGCCGGGATTCAGATACTGTTCTATTGCTGCGTTGCACTCTGAAATGCGATGTTTACTATTAAATTAAAAAAAAAATAAGGGGATTGTGAATTTGATAGATAGATCAGATCTGGGTGATTATAAGAGCTAGAGGAAAATGAATGGAACTTTGGGTGATCCTTCTTCTCTATTCAACGGTATAAGACAAACTAAGAAAATAAACTAAGAAACCCGTGAAGGGAGGTTTGGAACGATTGAGGAGATGACGAAAAAATGGCTGGAAAAACTCAAAGTTATACTAGAAAAGAAACATTGACACAAGTGTATTATATCTGGGGGACAAAAGAAAAGTGATGAGGGACGTCGCTACGGACTTACACCGTCGACTGTATTCGCGATTTGGAAGTGCAAAAAAAAAATTATTCAGACTGAAGCGACAGGCAGTTCTAGTAAAAAACTAAGTGGTTCCAACAGCAACGTCTTAAAAATATACCAGTCTCTGGACCTATCGAAAAACTAAACGCAGACAATTTTGCTGAACAGCTTGGTATTGCATTTTACGCTTTTTACAAAACTTCTGGATTCCTCCTGCGTCGGTTTTTGCTTAGTCGAAATTGCTGACGTTTCGCCAATCATCCTGTTGGCTTCTTCAGCTTGGCATTTTCGATTTCAAGGCTTCGGAAGGATGGTTGGGGAAGTTCAAACAGAGACATGGTATAAATTATGGACAGATAAGTGGCGAAGCCGGCGATGCCGACAGAAACATCACTAACGATTGGCTGGAGAAGACGTAGCCAAAACTGGCAGAAAAGTACGCTGCTGACTGACGATAAAACTCTTTAATTTCGAAGCGTGGGTGGAAAACTTTCTAAAGAACGTATAACAGTGTTAGTAGCTGCCAATATGAGTGGGAGAGCAAAAAAAAGATAGTCGTGATTGAAAAATCAACTAACCCGCGATGTTTTAAGAACATCAACCATTTGCCGGTCACTTACAAGGCAAACAAGTCAACAAGAATTAAAGGGGAAGAAAATATTACTTATACGTACAACAGTGTTAGTAGCTGCCAATATGAGTGGGAGAGAAAAAAAAAGCTAGTCGTGATTGAAAAATCAACTAACCCACGATGTTTTGCCGGTCACTTACAAGGCAAACAAGTCTGCGTGGATGACATCGCAAATTTTTGAAGAGGAGATACGGAAATGGGATGCAGAATTAAAGGGGAGGAAAATATTACTTCTCTTAGAAAGCTGCACATCCCCATATTCCAAATCTACGGAATAATGAATCGGCATTGCTTCCAGCCAAAACAACAAGTGTATTACAGCCGATGGACCAGAGCGTAATAAAAATCTTAAGAGTCGATACAGGAAAGACAGATCAAATTTGATAAAGACACGGTGTTGTCGAAACAATTGTCATGTCATAATATATAATTTCTTGAAAATCTGAACTTTTAGTTCTTATTTATTTTGAGGAAGCCATATTACAACAAGCAAGAAAGGGTGATGAAGAGCACCAAGAGGAAGAAGAAGATGAAGAAGTTCATCTGGGACCACCACCAATCGTTCAACAAGCCCCATATTCTAACGAAAAAAAAAAGCAGTGCCTTCAATTTCGCTATATAGAGTTTCGACTGTAATTGGAAAAAACAACTAATTTAGGGTAACCAGTTTTGTTCAAGAATCATTGACCAAGTTTTTTGTTATCAAAAATTTGTTTGGCTTATGGTGCCAATAGGATGGCAGAATGTGTTGGTTTTCATTGATAAATGATAATGAATCAAATAGAAGAAAGGTATTTCGAAAGCATATTTAAGTGTTCAATTTGATAAGGAAAATTGTACAAATAATAAATTTTTACCCCAACCACACAACTTTTGGGGGACTCGGTTGTCTGTCGCTATATTTTATGCCGAGAACTTTACAGAAAGTCAGCCATTGATTAATCTAAATATGTTCAGTAGCTGCATGATAAAACTGAACGTCTGCTAGGCAGCACGGAGAACTAAGTCATTATCTTACGCAGTTTTTGAATAGATGTGGAATTAAGCTGTATCTAACCTAGTATCAAAATCAAAAAAACATAAAAAAGCATAAAAAAGTGTAAGAATTACAACAACAAATCGTTAGTTAAGTATAGAAGAATTCATATTACGCCAAAAGAAGAACAGAGATAAAAATCCCACACTTTCTTCCCCCGTTCTGTCCACCAAGCCTTTTGAAGGTGTTTCCTCCCTTATCAAGACTATAAAGAACAGTAGCATTGGGAAAGTCTACCAAAATTGGAGCAATCAAGTGTCTTAATTGTGGAACCTCTCAGAATGGCTGCATTTTGAGTGTGACGCAATATATAAATACCACAATATTGTCGTTTCTAAGGTAACCAAAAACTTACCTTCTGAAGTGAGAAGTTTGGCATCAACGAATTGTAACGTATTCGATAACAGAGTTTGTTCTGTCTGACCCCACCCCGAAAGGGTTGCGATACCCGTGAATTCCTGGCTCGGCTGGGGAAGATTGATCGGTTTGATGGTGTCGGTGAAAGATAACGGCTCCGATAAGTGCGCCACTGAGATGTCGTGCGGGGCAACTACTTCTTCCCTACAAGAAAATTCGTTAAATCTTATGACACCGTGTCAGTGTATGTGTATGTGTATAGTCAAAAGTTAGAAGAAACGTTCATGATCTATGATCTTTTATCGCTATTTTGTAGTTTCTGTGAACCGTAGTATCATAAAATGGTTTATTTTGTAGATATTGATCAAATAGTATGTATCATACTAGATCCCAAATAGCAAATAATTAACAAGCAGAACATTAAACATTTTTTTTCAATTAAAAGAAATGAAAATCTCAAGAATTCACAAAGTCAAATAGGTCTCCGGGTTTCTCAAGCAGTGGCTAAAGTACTGGAAAAGACCCAAGTCACTCTCTATGGTGTTTAAGTATTTAATAAACCAACCAAGTGGCACTTGTCGCACACCTGATCAGTGCTAATTAAACATGATATTTTGTGAACAAAAAAATCCTTGATTTAGTGAGAGCAACTTTGCATAAAATCGTGAAAACAAGCTGAGTGTTCAATAGTCTACTCGATTCGAAATCATTTTGAATTCGTTTTGCAATTCCTTAACTTTTATTAATAATAATGCATACCCAAACCTAATTGTTGTTCCATTATTTCATTTTATCTAAAAGAATACTAGTTTTCACGTACTAGATCACTCATATTTGACATTAGCGCTACTCAAAGATGACGTAATAATGTAAATAGATACTACAGCGTATTCAAAATAAACGACTATATTTGAATAATTTGGAATGGTTGAAAAATACGAAAACTTTTGATATCGTCGCTTTAGGTTATAATAAAAACAACTTTTAAGTATTTTATTATTAATTAAAAGAATTAATCAGGTTAACATTAAAAATTAAAAACGCAGTTGGCCTGGATACTGAGTTGACGTTTCACACATCACACGTCATCTTACTAAAACTAATAAATTGATTTTGACAAGTTTATGTGTACAGTTTGCATCAGCTTGTGAAAAAATGGTTCGAGGTGCCGTATCTCCAAAGAAAGTTAAAAATTGTGTATATTGATGTATGAGGATAAATAAGAGTAGTAAGAAAAACAAATGAGATTGCTTGAAACGTATTGTAAAGTTTGCTTCTGGGGAAATAGGGAAGTGCCCAGCCCAGAGATTAATTGTCTCAGCAACACGGCACATCATGCCATACTGCTAACTTGAATGTAATCGAAACATTGTGGCATTAAATGAAATGGAAATTGAAAAATGATGCACAAAAAACTGTTCGAAACATTATAAAAAAATATTTTTCCCGATCATTTAATGGCAATATTTTTAAACCACCAAAATAAAATATGCAGGTTTTTTGTAACAATCGAATTCGAAAGACATAAATACTGAAATGGCCGACTATGCAGTTGCTAAGATGTGTTAAACATTTATTTTCAGCAATACAGGGCGCCTGCTCATAGTGCTCTAATGATAATCGAAAATCATTTTAAATTCAATCCTAGATTTAAATCGCGTGATATTAAAAATCCATAAACCGAACACATTAAGAGAAGACTCCGCACGCCACTGTATTCTACTAAAAAAGCTCTATTAGAATGCAATGAAATATTGAAATTATGTGAAATTAGACATTATGGGGGTACATTATCAATGCGCATTTTATATTCATACACACACAGGTTAATTTTTTGTCATAAACGATGCAATTTAATTTTTAAAAATCTATATCTTCGGTGGCCCACTCATAAAAAAGAATGAAAGATTATATATATATATATATATATATATATATATATATATATATATATATATATATATATATATATATATATATATATATATATATATATATATATATATATATATATATATATATATATATATATTCTCACGTATTGATTCACGGATGGAAAAATGTGATGACACTATATTCCGGGATATCATCCGTTCGCTCGTTGAACTCCGACTGGAATCCTGCAAATCTTGCATCCGACTGGAATCCTGCAGACGTTTCGCCAAAATCTCACTTGGCATCTTCAATGCTCGCGCTATATATAATCTTTGCTTCTTTTTTCAACTGAAATTTTTGCTTTGAGTTTAGTGAAGAGATATGTTTTTTGTAAATTATAACTTTTGTGTCCTTGAAAATGGTTTGGAGTTTTTCTGATAATCCAGGTATATATGGCAGCGATATATATTTTCTTTGAGGATTTTGATGTTGATTTTTGTTTACGGTATTATAAAATTTGTTGGTACGTTTATTAAACATTTTATTAATTAAGTTTATGAAATAATTATTTTCTACAAGTGTGTGTTTTGCTTTTTCAATTGCGGTCTATATTCTGGATCGGATAACATTATTGCTCTGTCTGCGAGACCTATTGTGACGGATTTTTTTTGGGCTAGGGAAAGATTAGATTTAAAATTTAGTATATCAAGTATACCAACTTGTTCTTATTTCATTTTGTATGAGATGTAAGGATAAGTCTAAAAAGTTAATAGTATTTTGGTTCTCAATTTCAATTGTGAATTGTAATTTTTTGTGGAAATTATTGAAGGAGTTTAGCAATAAGTCTTTTTTTCTTTTTTTTACACACAGATATTCCTCTCAATGAATTTTTAATCGCTTTATATTTTACACTAAAATCCACATTTTTTCAATACAAAAATATGTTTTATAAACAAGTCGAAAGTTGTGCCATGGGTATGTCAATTTCAAGCATAGTAGCACAGCTAACAAAAAGAATGTTATTAAAAACATTCAATTTACCTTTTTTTTATCGATATGTCGACGACATCATAACTGCAGTTCCAAAAAGGATCATTCGCCTGACGTTTCGCCAAAATATCACTTGGCATCTTCAGAGGTCGCGCGTCCATCTCACTCGTACGTGTCCGCCCTTAAACTTTAAGTGCGTTTAAGTGCGGACACGTACGAGTCACAATATATATATATATATATATATATATATATATATATATATATATATATATATATATATATATATATATATATATATATATATATATATATATATATTTTATATTTCACTTTTCAAAAATAACTTTTTAAAAAAATATATTTATTAACTTTAAATTAAAATAAAAATCAAAATGAAATTGGACGTAATAACCTCGTGACGAGAGAATGTTATTAGACCGTTAAAATCAAACTAAAAATGGACATAATAACCTCGTGATGAGAGAATGTTATCAGACAACGTTTTACAATAGAAATTAGTATTTATAATAAATTTATGCTGACGTTGACGGGGTCGACGGCTGCGGATGTTGCGACATATCGTTGACACGACGTTTTCGCAATCGTTGCACTCTTGCAGGTCGGTGGCATTTAACCCATATGGACAATAGGATTTCCGGATATAACAGCTCCCCCATTAAGTGAAAAGGTGGAGCCTAGCTGCAGCTTTTCGTAGACTAATTAAAGCGTAGCTTCTCGGGTAGTTACTTCTGGGTGGATGCTAGTCCGTCTTTTCGGAGTTAGTGATTTGAGTTGCATCGGGAGCAGGGGTCTTCGACTTGGCTTCGGAGGTTGTTGGGGATCGTTACTATCGGCGATGCTGAGTGTTGTCGGTTTCTTTCTCCGGCACTTGCAAACGAAATAGCAAAGTACTAAAACAGTCATTAAAATAATCGAAATAATTGTCAGCCAGTGAGAATGTTTCTGAAGGGTTGGTTGATGAAGTAGGTTTTCTAATTTTTCCGAATATTCGTGCAGCTTGTGTTGGGCCACGTTAAGGTCGTCGGTGTCGATCTTACTTAGCTTCAGGGGTTTCAACTCTGGGGGTTGAAACTTCTCTGGAATGTGAGAACAGCAATCATATGGAATCTCCACGGCGTGGCTCTTGTAGGTCACGTTCTTATATTCTTCGACAAAGTATTTAGCTCGTACTCTGGAGCTTCCAATAAATGCACTGCAATCTGGTTGTAGTTTAAGTAAAGAATTAGTTTTTAACATTTCGGCTACTAGGTCTCTTTTTCCACATTTAATGGAGATTGGTAGTGGTTCGGATACGGTAATTAACCAATAATTAAAGTCGATTTCTATAACATTGTAATCGGAGGCCAAGACGATTGAAGATTGACATTTAACAGGAACACGATCGGAATGTCTAAGCAACTGCGCTTCGCAAAGGGCTTCTTTCTCTATCGATGGGATATTGCATTAAGTTAAAACAGATTCTTTCTTTACCGCGAAGTTGTTTGCAGCTTTTTAGATCTTCAGGTAGTACATAGAGTAAAGAATCGTCATCACGCGCAATATATTTTATTGTTGATGGAATTATATGAAATAATCGTGTTCGATTGTCCAAAATTGGAATAGGTAAAACACGATACAATGTGTATATTTCAGGCTCAATTAAGGGTATTCTTAGTACAAAAACAACTTTATTTTCAGTTTGAAATGCTTCTAGCTCCATAATATCTACTTACCTTGCAATGCTCGAAGTATAGGGTGGTAGTGGTAAATTATTTTTTATCAAGGATTTTGAAATTTCCTGAAGAGAAATGACTAAATCTCGTGGGTAAATAATAGAACTATGTAAAACTTTGATTCGTGCGAACGTGATTGCGTTTAATATATCGCTGAGGTAAGACTCTAGGTATACATAACTTTCCATAAGGCTTTCGCAAAGATTAAGTGTTTTAATTTGACTTTCGTAAAATGCTACGGTGTCCGAAATATCATAGAGAGATTTTTGAATTTGAGTTAGATCCTGATTGAAAGTTTCTTCGTCGATTCGGAGAGTTTAAATTGTAGAATTAAAAGATTTTGTTACTTTATTTATACATTCATTAAAGTATTCGCCGTCTGTAGAGTCTAGGTTTCCGGTAATTAATTTAAAAATAGTTCTTACACCGTTAATTAAACCGCGTTTAGTTCTAAAATTAAAATTTTCAGTGTTGATAGTAATTTCTGAAAATTTCTCTTCGACTGAGTCAGCAATTATAGTTAGAAGACTAAAATGAGTTTGGATACTTGTTTTTAAGGCTGTCGTACGAGGAAAAGAATCGTCTAACATTTTTTGTGAGAGA